GATCCACTCATCTATTTTTGGGCATTTGGGTTGTTTCCATATCTTACCTATTATAAATAGTGCTGCAGTAGACATAGGGGTGCAGGTGTCCTTTTGAATTATTGCTTTTGTGTCATTTGGGTAGCTACCTAACAGTGGAATTGCTGATCATATGGTATCTCCATTTTTTGAAGTCTGAGGAATATCAACACAGCTCTCCATAGTGGTTGGACCTGTTTGCATTCCCACCAGCAATGCAGGAGAGTTCCTTCTTCTCCACATCCTCGCTAGCATTTGTTGTTGCTAGTTTTTTTAATATGTGCCATTCTCACTGGTGTAAGGTGGTACCTCATTGTGGTTTGATTTGCATTTCCCTGATTACAAGTGATGTTGAACATTTTTCTTTCTTTCTTTTTTTTAACTGGCCACATTACCAGCGGGAAAGACATCAAGGGGAGCCTCATAGTGCTATTCCCCACATCGGGGCCTTCTTGGTACCCCAAGTCCTCAGGTGGAAGGAGCCCTCAGGAGCCCCATCACCTACCCAGTTATCTCAGGGGCCCTGGAAGAGTGCTGATCCTCCCACACCCACCACTGCAGTTCAATCTGCGCCATTTTGTGTTTCTTCCATTTTTGTTTTTTTTTTTCTTTCCCATCCATCAAAACATCACAAGGGAGATAGCATAGCGGGGTGGGGGGGGGGGCGCCCTGGGAAGACTACTCTGCTCAGCTCTAACGCGCCCCCCAGTGGAACAGACTAAAACAGCAACAACCTAGATCTCAGGGAGCCACCACCTGTCATGCTTAAACCATGCTCCTCCCTCAATCCAGCCACCTTTCTCCTCTTCCAGGAGGAGGAGGGTGAAGGGAACAATCGCGGCCATGTAGTGCTCCAGACCTACACAGCTAAGGATGCCCTGCAGGAAAAGCCCCTTGATTCACCGGGTTGGACCCTCTGCACGAGTGGCAGCTCTTTTGTTGGTCAAGGATATAAAAAGGCAGGAGATGCAGGGTCCTCCCTGGTGGCTCAAGGGGTTGAGCGCAGCACTGTGAGGCTGTCCGCGGACTTTGTGGCGTGAGTTCGATCCCTGCCGTCTGGGGAGCGATCCACATGGCGCCGCAGACCTCTCCTGTCTCACCGGCTGCTCCCCTCAGCTCCCCTGAGCAGTGTATTTCAGTACATCTGCCTGTTCCGATTCCCACTCTCTTTGGTGAATCTTCTCACCCCCCATGACTCTGGTCTGTACCTGTACCCCACTTCTTGGGAAAAAAAAAGGGCAGGATATGCAGTAGTCAACCTAGATAAAGCCACTGAAAGCACAGCTTTGCCCTCTGGCACCAGTGCCCAGCTGGGTGAACTCATAGACCTCACCTGTGCCCTGGCCCTGAGCAAGGGAAAGATCCAACATCTACATGGACTCTCAGTATGCTTATCTAGTCCTTCACCCATGCAGAAGGAAAAGAAAGCTATTATTTAACAGCTAACGGGTCACCCATTAAATACCAGAGGTGGCGGCAATACACTGCCTGGACACCAAAGAGATTCTGATGCAGTCTAAGTTCAGGAAACAATCAAGCTGTTGCTGCCACCAAGTGGGCAGCCATGGCTAATAGTTCTCCCCAACCAGCAAGGGCCCTCTAGGCCCCATTAACATGGGAACCCCCACGCTGGGCTGATAGGCCTATTACACCCCCTGACGAGCCAGAGTGGGCCCTGTCCCAGGGGTTTATGCTCTCTCCAACTGCTTGTTCCAGACTGAGGAGGACAAGCTTCACTTCCCCTCCTTGGCCAGTAGAAGAATCTTAAGAATTTACATCAATCCTTCCACCTTGGAAGGATTGCCAACTTGGCCAACAGTTGTTCACTAAAAAAGACTTGTCCAAGACAGTCAGGCATGTGGTTGGTAGCTGTGAGCTATGCCTCAGAAATAATCCTCAGGCCTTCCCTCCCTTCCCCAGCAAAGACAGGAACACTTCCCAGGGGAGGATTGACAGATGGATTTCACTCGTTGGCCTAAAGCTGAGGGAAATCAATAGCTCTCCTTCTGGTAACCACCTTTACTAACTGGGTGGGAGGCCTTCCTCTTAGGTGGTGAAAGCCTTGCGAATGGAAATGGTCCCTTGCTTTGGGCTGCCCCTGGGTCTGCAGCGGGACAATGGCCCTGCCTTCAGGGCATCTCCATGGCCTGTGTTTCTGCCAATCACCTTTGTTCAGGTCCAAAATACTCCCCAAAAACTTCATGGCCAGCTAGGGAGCTACCCACATGGCACAGCAGACCTCTCCTGCCTCACCCGCTGCTCCCCTCAGCAGTGTCTTCGGTCCCTCAATCTGTTCTGCTCCCCACTCTCTCTCTTGAATTCTCTCACCCTCCCCTGCCTCTGACCTATACCCCAGTTCTTGTATATAAATCTTTAAAAAAAAAAAAAGAAAGAAAAATGGGCTGAGTCCTTTGGAAGGTAGTACAGGTGCCCATTCTTGACTAATGACTTACTGTTTGACTCTGAGACTGCTCTCCAGGTAAAGCATATAACAGTTCTGGCTAAATTCCCACAGGCCCTGCAACAGTTAATGGAAGATGCCCTTGGAAGGCTGGTCGGTCACTTTTCTCTCCAGGGGACCTGGTGCTGGTTAAATCTCTCCCCTCTCTCCCTCTCTAGAGGCTTCGTGGGAGGGACCCTATACAGTAATTTTTGCCAATTCTACCGCCATAAAGGTAGAGGCCAAGAATCCTGGATTGATCACTCAAGTGTTAAGGCCTAGGAAACTGCACCTGCTGCACAGCAAGCTGCTGCCCCTCCTTCCCAGTATAGCCGTGAGCCCCTTGAGGATTTGAGACTCCTGTTCTGCAGTCCAGATCAGACCACTGTGAAACTCCCCAACCCCACCCTTCCACTCCTACATGCCTGGTCTGACTTATGGTGCCTTCACATGCAACTTTTCAAGACACCTGTGATGACTCCCCTGAAGACTGCCCGCTTATGGAGACCCACCTCTGTCCCTCTGTCACTTGATGACCCTGTCCTCTTCACCCTGGCCTTAATGACTGTAACCAGTGGCACTGTGCAGCAGAGTTGGTCATCCAGTGGAGTGCCTCACACCGGGCGACTGTGTCCCCTCTCACCTGGACTCTTTTTTTTTTTTTTAAAGATTGATTGATTGATTGATTTATACAATCACTGGGTATAGTCAGAAGATCAGGAGGGTGAGAGAATTCACCAGAGCAGAGCGGGGAACAGAACAGACAGACTAACGAAGAAATACACTGCTAAGGGGAGCAGCGGGCACGGCAGGAGAGGTCTGTCGCGCCATGTGGGACCCTCACCGGCAGCCGGGGATCGAACCGGTGCTGCAGAGGCTGCGGGCAGCTTTGCAGCCAACTGTTGCGCCACCAGGAGAGGCCCCTTACCTGGACTCTTGACTACAGTCCAAATGGAGAACTGGGTACTCTCAATGGCTGGAGCTGGGGCCCTGTTAAGATAATTCTCAGAGGGGCCTCCCTGATGGCACCAGGGGTTAAGACGCAGCACTATGAAGCTATCTGCAGCTGCTGCAGCACAAGTTCAATCCCAGGCCAGGGAGCTACTCACATGGTACAGCAGACCTCTCTCAGCTCACCCGCTGCTCCCCTCGGCAGTGTCTTTCAGTCAGTCTGCCTGTTCTGTTTCCCGCTCTGTCTCTGGTGGATCCTCTCACCACCACCCCCGCACCTCTGACCTGCACCCCAACTCTTGTATGTATAAATAAATCTTTAAAAAAATTTAAAAAATTTTTAAAATGTTAAAAAAAAAATAATTCTCAGATCCCAGGGTCCCCTTTCTCTCTGGGCTCCCCCTTCCTTCATTTGGGTCTGTGGCCATCCCACTTCCACTTTTAAAAACCTCTCTGTCGATGCACCTACCCCTATACTGACAATGTCTGGCATGTCACCCAGTGTGTCCTGGCTCATCTAATGCACACCGATGTACAGGTCTTCCACTCACACCCACGCCCTCATCTTGGGCCCTCTCAGTGGAGGTGGGCATTGGGTTTTGTGGTCTCTGCCATCTTTGGCACCAGGGCTGCTCTGGCCCCCCTGGGTGTCTTTGAATATCATGAAGTCACTCTCACAAACCTCACCAAGGAAGTTGCTGGCATCTTATTTCACACCAGGCACTCTCTTGAAAAACCTCGAGGGCTCCCTTCAAACCTTGGCTAATGTTGTTATGGATCATTGCCTAGCCTAAGATTATCTCCTTGCAGAGCAAGGTGGGTCTGTGTTGTCATTGATGAAACCTGCTGTACCTTCATCAATCCTAGCTCACAGGTGGAGGAGGATATCGTGCCTCAGGTAGACCAGTTTGGTCAAATCATCATGAGGGTAAGAGTGCAGAGAAACAGAACAGATATGTTGAAATTTTGCATGGCACAGTGTTAAGTGTTCTTTGAGTCTGAGCCTCTCTAATCTTTGATTCCCTGAGACCACAGTGGGGCAGGCATGGTGCAGGGTCAGAAATGCACCTTGGAACCCTAGCATCTAGGCCTCAACAGCTGGCTGATGCTGGAGAGTCATACACCCACCAGACTCTCAAGCCCCTCAACCTGTAAAATGACAATAGAAGATGCAGGACTTTTGTGAGCACAGCCTTCGTCTCAGGAGAAACTGACCTGTGTGTGTGAGAATTGATTATGAAATGAGGTGTGATTAACAATTTATATCATTTCTCCCTTTGTCCTTGGTGGTTTCCATGGGAGATGACATGAGCCACATCTCTGTGGTTATTGTGAAGCACATGTCAATACTCATGAAGCATCTGATCAAAGGGCAAGAACCACTTTATAAAATGGTTGAGTTCTACTGAGACCTACAGATAATGTTGTGTTGATTAAATCCCCCAGGAGCACAGACGCTGTGAGACACTGTTGTTCTCCTCTTATGCAAGATTACAAGGCAAAATCAAAATGACAGAAAATAGTGAACAGTTTGTTCTGACTCTTTAACAAAAATCAAAGGAAAGAGGAAAATGATTTGAAAATGGCCACAGTTTAATGAACCCATTTTGCTCACCGTCATTTATTTACCCTGTCTGAAAATAAAAAAAAATAATACTCAGTACGTTCTCACACCTGAAAGTGCAAGTAGTTCACAAAATAAAAGCATACATAATCCAGTGTCAAAAACTGGTGACTTATAGAAATCACCCCTGTTTATTTTTTCCAACAAATACAAATCACTCCTGTTTATTTTTTCAAAAAAAAAAAGAGAAAAAACATGGTTCAATAATTCAGTGTTTGGGTCATTGGCAAATACTGTCAGCATCATTCAAGATCAGTGTTCCAGGCTGTGGGCTCTGTGGCATGTGTTCATGGCCCGCAAACCTTCCACAGTTCAAATACAACAAGGTATCCGCACATGGAGGTTATGTGAAAAACAAGATGCGCTATCACAATGCACATAAAAAGAAAGTCTTTGAAAAATATCCATATCTTTCAAGGAATGAAGACACTCCTGTTTTACTGTTGGTTTTCTTCCTTTTAATTACTACTTTTTGGTTTTTGAAGTAAACTTTTTTGCTGTAAGGAAGGAACTGTAGGCCTTTGTGAAGTGGAAACCAACAGACCATTGGCTAATACATACAGTTTTCCTCCCAGACAAATAGCTTTTTCCCCCGAAAAAAAAAAAACCAAAAAACAAACCTTCTTTCATGATTTTTGTCATGGTTCAGAAAAGTAAAGAAAATGATTCAAGTATTCAATTCCTATCAAAAATTGGTATCAAAAGTAATAAAGGACCTAATTTCTTTTACAATTCCATGTTTAAAAAATAACTTAAGCAAGAGGTCCGGCCCTTTACTTGTATAAATACCACAGTATAACTAGAGTTTCTTAAGACAACGTGGAGAGGAGTCAGTGTTTAGCACCTCGATCATCGATCTTAACGTTGGGAACGTCTCTGACACTGATGGAAGGGTCTTATAAGAAGGTGAAATACTGAAAAGGAAAAACAGACAGAAAATTAACACAATTTTACAAAAAAACACAAACTTACATTACATTTATTCCTATTATTATAACCACTTTCTACCCACCCCACATATGTGACATCAGCCTGTATTAGGAAAGCTGCGAGGAGCTGTGAACATAACAGATCCTTCTGCAGCTGGGGACGGGTAGCTCAGCAGATTCAGATGATGAGTTGCTCTAAAGTTCAACCAGAGCGGGGGAAGGAAAAATGCTGCTTACTCAGTAACTGTAACACACACATTTCCTGCTGGGTGCATGCTGAACGTGGACTCACAGAGGATACAAATTTCAGGTCTAGCCTCACTTCTCACTAGTTTTAGTCATTTCTCTAAGCCCCACTTTCCTTACCCATAACAATAGGGGCCACATTCTTAGCCCAAGACTACCACAACTGTAAGTATGCCACAGTACACTGTGAAACTGTAACTCTACGTGTAGGGCAGTGTTGTTATTCTTTGCAAAAGAATTGTTGAAGGATGAACACTGTAAAATTATGTAAGGTCAGAAGCAAGATCTTTGGCCTTATGGTCATTATTACCAAAATGTGTGCAAACCAGTCAACCTGAAACAAGAATATATTGAGACAAGGTATAACTGTTAGAAAATTTCACACAAAGTTATCAGAATATTTATAAATTGAACAAGAGTGTGTACTACAGACATAAATTTCTCAGGTTTAAACAGAGCATAAATTACCCAGCAATCTTTAGAGTGGCTGGCTGTCAAATAGATGTGAAAGGCAAAATTGGAGGTGGTTATGATACAAAAAGCATGGAGGAGGAGCAAGAAGAAATAAGAAGAAACAGGGCAATCTGCTTATTCTTTGCTAGCTCTTATGTATCAGTGAATTTAATTTCATTCCATATTTATACACTCCCCTGTAGTGTGTCTGGAAACAAGAACAAGGCCAAAGCAGTGTGCTGGGGCCCTCACAAGGTGACTCAGGATCATACCTGGCTAATATTTTACTGAGTCACATGGTAATGCTCACCTCCATTCCAATAAAGTACCACCTTCTCACAGTACAGCGTGCAGTAAAAGCACAGCTGAACACTTGGAATAAGTCTAAAATGAATTCAGCTCAGAGTTGTAAAATTCTCTCCTGCATACTGAATAAAAGTATGGCATAAAGAGGAAATTAGCCCAAAGAAACAAAAATCTGCTTATATAAATAAGACATTTGTAACTTCTCTTTCACAAACTAGTTTCCTGATAATTTTTATTCATTATTCATTTTTATCTACACACTCACTCTTAAGACCCAAACATTTTAACTTTGAAAAAGCAGATTAAATGCACTGTATAAAAACAACTCATAAAAATGTGCACAATTCAAGTTTACGGAGCTTCACAAAGCATGTAGCTCCTCCCTCTTTAATAGTAGTATCCTTTTGTTGAACCCATCAAATAGTTACCTTTTCAAGTTCATCCAGCTTTTAGCTATTTTGCTAAAGGCCTCTGAACCAGGGGCTGTCATAGCTTCAAAGTCGACTAACTGAAAGGGAAAGAAAGTTAGGAATGTGATTAAATATGGAGGAGAAGGGCTCACTTTGAGATCTGTTTAATACAAACACTTAATCCACAGATTGGGATTTCAACACACAACCATTTACCTCTCCAGCTGCAACATACCTTCCCTTTGGGAATTTTTCCTGCCACTTCTTTTCCACTTGCCATCAGTGCTCCCACGATCACTGAGTAAGCTATTACACTATTTAAATAAAGAATAATTACCAATCAGTCCAAGTCTACACACAGTTGTCATGTTAAAACTCACCATGGACTTTCCAGCATAAAAGATGATTCTTTTTTAGGAATATCTTGAACATTAAACATAATATTTTCACTTGCTTCAAAATATATATACTAATTGCAAAATTATTTACTGATTTGAGTAAATGTGAGCAAAAATATTCTTTTTCTGTGGTAAAAAGTGTTTCTTCAGGGATTTTCTTCCCTCTTGGTATTTCTATTCATGTGAAATATGACTTAGATATGTGCCTACTTGTATTTCTACAAATTCATGAGGCTTGGTTTTTAAATGCATGTACAAAATATATTGTAAATAGAAACATATTAATTTTATAAGGCCCCCAAACAGAAAAGCAGAACACATTCTCAGAAAGTCCTAGCAGATTGGTCTGAACATACAGATAACTCACTTGTGCTTCTGATAGTTACTGCACACTGACAGCATGCCCCACACAAGCACCCCATGGCGAAGACAGCTAAGAAAGGCTTGTGTCTGGCTGAGGAGAGAGACAGCGTGAGCACTGGCAGAGAGAGTTTCCAAGTGCAATGAGTAACACTAAAGAAACTGAGTCAATCCTGGGGGTCACCTACCGGGGAAGACCCCACAGAGGCCACAGACATGTGTGCAGCAGCATCAAGACCTGGGCTGAAGGAAAGGAAGCGGTGAAGGCAAGGAGGGAAAAAAAGTGCAGATATAAAAGATAAAAGGCAGGGAGGTGTGATGGAGAAGGTCAACTGGAGGACCCCTGAAAGGTTTCATGAGGTAGAGAAAGGGTAGATAAAAGAGAGAAGTGATGAAGCCAGAGTAAACCACAGAAGGACAGAGACTGGCACTGGGCAAGATGACATCAAGTTTGCACTTGGTATAAAGAATTATAGGGCACAGATAGGGGAAGAAGCAAAGTCTGGAAGTAGGGAGACTAGTTAAAAAGGCTGTGGTAAGAGATGACAAGGGGCTAAAATCTGGCAGTCGCTGTGAGCACAAGTAGAGAATAGAGGTTTAGGAGGCAGAATCAATAGTACTTTGGGAATTAATAAATATAGAGACTGGTCTCCCTGGTGGCGCAGGGGTTAAATCTGGCACTATTAAGTTATCACCAGTCACTACAGCCTGAGTTAGATCCCTGGCCAGAAAGCTAACCCACATGGCCAGATAGTTAACCCTTTCCCATCCTGCCTGCTGCTCCCCTCAGCAACATGTTTCAGTAGATCTGCCTGTTCTGCTCCCCACTCTGTCTCTGGAGAGCCCTCTCACCCCCAGACCTCTGGCCTAGACCCCAGTTCTTATATACATAAATAAAAATAAATAAATCTTAAAAAATAAATACAGAGACCAAGTGGAAGATGACTGGAGGCTGTACTTCTTTCTTATGTCACACATGAGCCAAAGATCAGCTATGAAGATGAATGGTAACTTGTAGTGTATTTGCACAGTGAGTGAAGTGGTTGATAAAAGGGGGTGCACGTATGTCTTATGCACAACATATATTCAGTGGGCACAACTGATATTACAATATTTATATTCCTATATTGTCTCAATGTCTTTCTAACATTATAACAAAAATGACTACCTCATTTAGGAAGTTCACTTTCTAAGTATTAAAGATTAAGATTCAAGTATATTATTTTGGCCAAAACACCTTAAATTTAAACATAGGCTAGCAAGAAAATATCTGATGGTTTCACTTACAGAGGAATATAGGGGAACCAAATAAGGGATTAGGAAAAAAAAAAAGACAAAACTAGCAGGCAACCATAAATCGGAGACAGGGGTGGGAAGAACACAAGATGGTGATGGTTTAGGGGTGACTTGTTGGTGGGAATTTTACAGGGACTACACCTGACAGGAGGATCAAACATTGTACAAAAATGAACAATGATGTAAAATATAAATAAATATTTAAAAAAATAATAAACATAGGCTAGCAACAGCATATGCCATGTACATAATTTACTAAGCAAAGTACTAGGTAAAAGAGGATAAAGAGAAAACCTACAGATAAATCTCTTGCTTTAAAAAACTGATGGGCATATTTCACAGGAATTTATTTTAAAAAATAAAAATGGTATCAGATTCAAAAGTATAAAACTGGTGATTCAAAAGTATAAAACATCAGAGCTACACGTCAATGAATGCCCAAAAATTGGGGGACAGAGTAGAAGAGGGTAGGGTAACAGTTTGGACACACATCTCTGAATTAAAATACAATGAGCACAATGTACATACTGTATGTCAGCACATTTTTGTTGAATGAATGAACCCCTGCCACGTAAAATTTAAGCATATTCTATGAGTACTATCATAATTCTTTGAAAGATGTGGCAGATCAAGGAGAAAATCTTGGAGGGGATTTTGAAAATAAGGGTGTTTCTTGCCATTGCGTATATTAATTTTGAATCTACATCCATAAGACTAAGCAAAAAAAAAAATGTGTCTTTCAATCTAAAAACTTTAAAATTATAGGATATTACTCACCTGGATCCTCTAGAGAGTGGCATTAAATTATAAAAGTAGTAAACTAAGGATAAGATTAAGTTACAAACGGCATCAGCCTCCTAAAAAGAAAAGACACAAGTTCATGAACTTAAATACCAGATTATATATAAACTAGTTTTTTGTTAGGTAACAAGACACATAAGAAACCTATCAGGAAAAGGATAATTTCAATTCCTTGCCTACAAAACATTACTTTCTACATTGTTAAATATTTTATGTGCTTTTGTAGCATTTATACAATTCACTTTACAGCAACATTTCCCCAGATATTTTTTATTTATTTTTAAAAGAACTGGTTTATTAGGCAAAGGAGAAAGAAAAAGAGAGGGACCTGCATAGTTACAGGTGGGCAGGAAGCTCCCCAGATATTTTTTTAAGTTACAACCTTTTCTGATAAACTTACATTTCACTAATCTTTAATGCAAGTTGAAATGTCAAAATATACACTGAGTTACAATAAAACAAAGCACGTTGTAATACCAAACCTGCTTTCTCCAACTACAAGCCTCACAATCCCAAAAGTACAAAAAGCACCCTCCCAACCAAGGATAGGTGCTAAATATGCTTACTTATGTATAAAAATCTAGATGCTTCACTAAATATGTGTGTGTGTGTTTGTATTAACTGACTAAACACTAGAAAAATAAAGTGACATTTCAAGGGCCATGGGCCATTCCACAGATGGATAAAGTGCCCACCATACTATTGGCCCAATGGCAGCTGCAGCCACAGAGGGGCACTTCTTGAGTCAAGGAGGGCAATAGAGGAAGGACTCACAGACAGGAAAGGCCACTAAGAGCAGCGTAAACCAGTTTCATTATGAACCAACTTTTCCACTTAAATCTTGACAAAGTCCAGACTTATGATAAGAGAGCACAGTACGTAAGCAGTCCTCACTTCCCATAACCCGCATTTACTAAAAACGGAAATTGTTTTCCAAAGGATATAAAGAAGAGTTATTTATAGGTAAATTAAAGCTGATTTCAAGCCCAAGTTGTACTGTCCCAATAAAAGGGTAGAGGCTTTTAAAGGTTTACAAAGGAATCATAGGAAGCATGGATAAAATAAAAACAAAAACCTACCCCAAATTCTGACGAAAGAATGAGTACTTTTCCTTTTGCTGTTAGATCTTTATAAAGTGCATCTATTTCAGCATGATATAATTGTGTTCTTTCTTCTGTGGTTTGAGTTTCCACAGAAAATAGTATATTGCCAACCCTAGGTATAAAAGATCACATGTTAAAGGCATGTATTATACAATTCAAAGAAGCCCACACAGAAAGTTAAAAGGAATTAAAAAGCATGCTGATGTGGGCCTCCCTGGTGGTGCAAGGGGTTAAACACAGCACTGTGAAGCTATCCACAGCCTCTGTAGCATGAGTTCCATTCCCTGTCAGCCAGGGAGCTACCCACATGGTGTAGACCTCTCCTGACTCACCTGCTGCTCCACTCAGCAGTGTACTTTAGTCAGTCTGCCTGTTCTATTCCCCATTCTGTCTCTGGTGAATCCTTTCCCCACACCTCTGGCCTAAACCCCAGTTCTTGTATGCATAAAAAAATAAATCTTTTATAAAAAAGCATGCTGATGTGGCACAAGATATGTCTAAAATGTATCCTGCTTTTCTAAAGGCAGATGAGGTATGTTTAAGTATGCAATTTTTTCATAACATATATTTTTCTCAGTCTAACCATATGTACTCATTATATGAACTTAAGCTAATACAGAAGGAACCAACACATAGTAAAGAATGACCTTAAATGCCTTATCAATATCTTATTAGCCATTCTGTTATGATTGAAGATCAGAGGTAAGAACTGTGTATGGAGAGAAAGTTTGGATACTTTGCTATTTTTTGTCTTTTTAAGCTTCTGTTGTATACTTAGCTGCACATGAGGCTCTATGGAGGCTATACATTTGATACAACAGGTATTTATTATGATGCCAGCAGCAAAATGCTGAGCATAGTTCTTAAAACCCACAAAAGAAGAATAAAGCCCAGCTGCTGCCTTTATTGAGGAAGGGAGGGAGAAACAAGGACACAAATTACGAGACCATGCTTCGGGCCATAACACAGTTCATCTGGGTTCAAAAGGGACACCAGATCTTATTTGGAAGACATGGGAGAAACAGGGAATGCTTCATGGATGAAGCAGCCTGAACTTGGGTCTTAAAAATCAGGGTGGGAGTGACAGAGACCACATGTGGAAGTAGGAAGTAACCTCAAGGAATAAGCTGTACAGCTGAACTAGCACTGCAGCGCTATTTATAAAGTGAAAAAAATGGGAAGCACCTAAATTAGTCAATAACAGAAAAAAAAAAAAAAAAAACCAGGAGAACCTACGGCAGAACCTACAGAGGGAATACTATGCAGCTATTAAAAATGCTTGTAAGAATAGGATATGGGAAATTGTTTAAGATAAAGTAATGATAAAGGTAGAAAAGAAACAGGTTAGAAAACAATATGCATAGTATAATCTCAGTTTCTAAAGAAAATTGTTTTTAGTCTTTATATAGTCCATCGTAAGATTGCACTACCCATGAAATACATTAAAACTTGCAGTAAAAAATTTAAAATGACTTTCAATTTCCTAATCTTTCATCTTTTTTTCATTTTATTAGTAGAAATCTCCCCCATGATGAACTTGGGAGAACCCAGAAGAATGCATTCCACAAACCACACTGGACACTAAATATCTGGATAATTATTTGGATTTAGACAGAAAATATTATCTCCTGGTGTCATCCTTCAAGTGTCACAACTGGATCCTGACAGATTTCATTTCATGATAAAGCTGACCCTCCCAGGGCACATGTGAAACATACACATCCTGACCCTTCACACCCACATGCAGGAAGCATACATACTTGTCGCCTGTGATAGTAATTGTAAATCCATCATATTCCTTCCCTTGATCTTTGAGGCTGGGAACTTTGGTGTTCACAGTAAATCCATCCTTTGTTTTAGTATTAAACTGCTTTCAGGGAAAAAGAAATTTCATGTTACTGGAGTATCATTCATTGTAACACCCTCAGCAGCTACTTTAAACAGTGACTCCCTCCCCTGTTTTGAAAAGGGGGCTCAGAGTCACTCTGTCACGGGGTGGGGGAGTAGATGGGGGTGCCTCTGTCTATGCCCATGCTCCAATGCCAACCCCAACCCTCTCCCTGTCCCGCTGCTAGAAACCACGGAGAACCTCAGCAGAAAGGGCTCCTAGGCTGTCCTCAGCAGCCTGCTTTTAAGAGCTCCCTTTGGCGCTCTCTCTCATGTTCAGATCAAGTGGCAGCAACTCAGGTTCTTAGCAGAAGAGCTGTACCCAATATCCCGGAACTCACAAAGCACCTTATGTTTCTGAAAGTGCTCAAAGTATAGCGTGATGTTTCTTCTGAAAAGTATTCAGAATTATATTTGTCAACTGGGGAATTTCACACCAGCACACACTCCAACTCTGCAGATCAGAGAAGTCTGTTTCAGTAGCTACACAAAGCTAAGAACAGCCCTCAGGAGTGATGAGTAGGAACATAGTTGCAGAAGTCAGTGCTTTGTTTAAAATATTTTTGACAAGAAGGAGGGAAGCTGAGGTATATTCTAACTCCCCTGAAGTGTCCCTTGTTTTGAATTCAAATGTTCCTAATATTGCCACACCTACTTTTCCTTTCTTAGATCTGCTTGCTATTCTTTCCCCTTTCAAATGAAATATCACTTTGTTGTAGGTATCGCCTTTAAAATAGAATACAGCGCCTCCCTTGTGGTGCAAGTCTCAGCACTATGAAGCTATCAGTAGCCACTGCAGCACAAGTTCGATCCCCAGCCAGGGAGATACATACATAGCGCAGCAGACTTCTCCTGACTCGACCGCTGCTCCCCTCTGCAGTGTATTTCAGTAGATCTGCCTGTTCTGCTCCCCACCCTGTCTGTGGTGAATCCTCTCACCTCCTTCTCCCCTAACCCCCCACTGCAACTCTGGCCTATCCCCCAGCTCTTGTATGCATAAATAAAATAAACTTTTTTTAAAAAAAGATAGACTAGAGCTAAAGTTCTAAGAACCAATCTGAGATCTCAGTCTTTCAGTAGAGGAAGAATTACTAATGTCATATTTGAAACCTGTCACTGTTGTTCCTACATTTCCTACCTACCTTGATTTTTCTTTCCTCTTAATCGGCTATTTCTTACAGACTTGCTTTTGTTGTTTTATTTTATTTTGCTTTATTTTACTTGTTTTATGAAGAGTCACTCTGTCATAGGGCAGGGGTGTTGTGGGGGGCGCTTTATTTTATTTTAGTTAATACTCAGTGTATTTGTATTAGTGTTTTCAAGCAGTATGCTTACACATTTTAAAACACATACAGCATGATATTAATAAGCATGTATTTAACAATTGAGAGTTTTTCTTTTTAAAGTGCTGTAACTTTTATCCCCTTTAAAAATACCTACAGTGGGCCTCCCCTGGTGACGCAGGTGGTTGAGGGCTGTACTGTGAAGCTGTCTGCAGCCTCTGCAGCGCCAGTTCAACGCCAGCCTGCTGGCGAGGATCCCACATGGCGCGGCGCATCTCTCCTATTGCGCCCACTGCTCCCCTCAGCAGCATATTTCGTCAGTCTGCCTGTTCTGTTCCCAGCTCTGTCTCTGGTGAATCCTCTTACCCTCCCGCACATCTGGCCTATACCCTGGTTCTTGTATAAATAAATAAATCTAAAAAAAAATAACTACAGTGATTTTGATGACAAATTTACCTTCATAATTGGAAGAAGGTCTTCTACTTTGTGTACCTTTTCCAGAGCTTCTCTAACTTCCAACAATCCTTTAGGATTATTAGCTCTTTAAAAAAGAGAGAGACAGCAACTAAAATTAATACAGTTGTAGTAATTATTTTATAAATCATTCTTCATTATGAGTAGTTCAATATTAAAAATGGGTCACAACTAAGGTTCCTAAATAGTAGGGTGGTTTAATCCTAATGAGTTTGGGGCTATCAATGAAAATTTCAAAAATAGATAGTAGCCCATCTAAAAGTGAAACAGGGACAAAAAGACCGAGGTGACAGCCAGCGTTTGTGGTACACTGATGGGTCTGGGTTTAGTCATAAAACCTTGATTCCCCTACAAATTCTGATTAGAAGTCAATGTTTTTTTCTTTCTAAAGTTGCTCAAATAGAAGTATCCTGCTAAGTTTTCATACCAATGTTGTATCTATGTCATACTACCTTTGAATTATAGGACAATGAATATTAAGGTTGAAATCCCTGATAAAGAAATGCAACAAAACATTCTGCTTTTCAGGAGAGACTAGAGAAGTCATAACATTGTGTGTTAGATTAAAAACTCAGATGAGATCCATGGAATTTGTGAAGCTACTGAAACAAAAGTTGATAAGTGGTTATGAAGAGTTTTATGATTCTAAACATTCTGTTAAAGTTTGATATATTTTGCTTAATGTGTCAACAGGCCTAGTTTTCAAGCTTCATAACTATAACTAAAATAAAATATATGAAATCTCTACATTACTATGAAAAAGAAAACTGAAGGATTACCCATGATAAACAAGAATCCTATCTTTAATAAAATGAAGAATTTTCTCGAAATATTCCAGGTATCTCATGTTAATCACCTGACCCCTGAAAGAAAAAAAAAAAATATGAATTACAGAGGCATATGTTCCAAATAACATCTAATTTAAAAATTCATTCAAATGAGTAATAAGTGAGAATAATATAGAAAAATGTTTGGGAAATCCACTTGTTTGTGATCAATGAACGGCGGAAGCAAAGAAATATCTTTGCACGACTATCAGCTCTTGATGATTTTGATAGAAAAGGCACCAAATTCAACCACAGAGAAGCCAAAGTGGGAAGAAAAATCCTCAAGTACTTAAAGAAGATTCAGACTTCTATGCTAATTTCCTCTATGGATTGCTTTACTTTTTTGGTCACATGCCTTTCCCTCCTACTTGGTTCCTCAGCAGCATTATCTGCTAACATTCTTTCTTACTGTCTAGCCAACTAGCAGTTTTCATCTCCTCTACCCACTCTAAATAGCTTCACTACCCCTCACCCCCATTTTTAAAACTCTCTCCCAAAACTTCCTATGCTAACAGATACTTTTAACTGCCTTACATGTGCTAACAACATGTGCACATCAGATCCTCCCTAGACACCACGCCCTGGATTGCCCAAGGGCATGGCCAACCTCATGTTCATATTGTCCAAGAAGTATTGACTCCCACTTCTCCGGCAGCTCCTGTCTCCAAACATGTCCACCTATTTTTTTGTCCTGTTGCTACCTGAACTACTGAGAAGCCATTGATGTGAGGCAGCAATTGGATGGCTTCCCTGTCATCTCATGCTCTCCCCTATTTCTAATCTACCACCGGTGCTCATGACTCTGCCTCCTCAATATCCATCTCTTCCTGTCTAGTTCACTTCCACAAAGCTTTCCATCTCTGGTACTTGTTTACCTGAATTATTATGCAACGTTCTAACCCCTTCCCTTGCCTCCAGGGTTGCTGCTCCTCTCTAACCTATCTGCCACCTACAGCCAAGATGATCATCTGAATTAAATCTGTTCACGTCCATTTCAGCTTACAGCCTCTGAATAGCCCTCTATCATCTTCAGGAAGATGAAAAACAGCTTCAGCATAGACTACAAAGTTATTTATATTTTTGTCTCTGCCTGTCTTTCCAGCCTCGACTCCTAATACTCTCTTAATTGCAAACTAATCATCAGTCATCATGAATTAGTCATCCTCTCCTGACCATGCCTGACTCACTTAAAGGTCCATGCCTCATCCTCCTCTCTCTGCTTCTTATCTTTCCAAATAACACAGGCAGCACCTGAAGGCTGGTCTAGGCACTCATTTTTTATGTCTGCACACACAACCACATTATATTTCACACATATATAGAAGTCCACTGGTCTCTCTTGCTACACCATGAAGTGAGGAACTGTATTTCACTTCTATATCACCATGATGCAGCATAGTACACTGACAGTGGCCCTCAATTAAAGCTAGTTGAGTCTATTGACAAATGTCCTATTTCTATTAGAAATAGGAATATACAAGTCAAAAGGAAAAAGAAATGTATTTTTACAAATAAAAATAAATATATAAATGACATTTCCATTAAATTTAAATATCAAAGCTGTATAGAATAATATTTTCTTAATTCAGGCTTCTGGATCAGAAACATTTTAGATGTGATACCAGCACATTTATAAAATGTAAAATGAAATTCAGTGAGTCCCCTGAAGCTGATATTCTCTGATACTAACTGTTTATTTAGAAGGTAGCTAAGCACAAGAAGAAAGGACTGAGGAGGGAGAGCCTCACCCCGACCCAAACTTGCAGAGTCGCTGGACAAAACCAGCTCTTCAGTTAACCTGGTTTGCACTTCCAGGACAGCAGCTAAGTGCCCAGTGTTATTAATCCAAACCCTTTGTGTGTGGGGAGTGAGAGAGGAGACCCTCCCCTATCACAACAGATTTGTCAAGGAATTTTTGAGTCATGACACAGCATCAGGATACTATGGAAAATGCAATGTTCTCCATCTCATTAATTTCTGTGATGTTTAGAACCTTTTAAAGACTGACTTCCTAGGCAAAAATCTGGCAATGTACCCTTCAATTGCACTCGGCATCAAAGAGGAGAGCCTGGAGAAGGAGCATGGCAGTACTCCATTTCTTTCTGCAACTGAGCTAGCTGAAAGGAATACATATGGGACCCTGCAGGGGCCAAACTGGTCTATGTATCCCTTGTCACCAAGAAAGTCACCAAGAAAGTCACCAAGAAAGAAGCACTGGGTTTCTCATCGTCTCCATGACCTATCTATTTAGAATAAATTCCTATGAAAATATAAAAGATGCACACAGGTAAATACCTGATTAAATTAATGTGGTTGTTGAAACCTCTGCTCAGACTTCGTGCTGGCATTTGATCTAACCACAGCACTGGCTGGTCTGGGTCAGCAATCCTATAAAAATAGAATGTGTTAAAGATGAAGACCTTATAAAATCTAGAAATGCTCAAAGCAGTCAAAATAAAATGTGTAGAAGTCTATGCAAAGGTGGGAGAAAGTAATTGTTTTGTCCATTATATCTAAAAATATGAAACACCAACTGAAAATCCCAAATAGATATCCCAATTGGGCCAGGCAAGAAGTCAGTACAGGTCTACTAGAGAGTTTTGTTTTTCTCATGAAAATGAAATCAGTGATTCCTTCTCTAAACTGACTGGTTAGCCAGGTATACACTTCAAAGGGATCAGTTCAATCAAGTTCATTCAGAGTTAATGATACTCTTTCAAAAAGACTACATTTAAAATGCTAAAACGCTACATTTAAAAATGTGCTTGGAAACATATTTCCTATTTCATAAATATTAACTGAGTGTATTTCAAAGTCGAATGATGCTAACAACTTTTGACAAACTTTAGAGAGGAAACATCAACTGAAAAGGCCTATTGTTAGTTAACAAAACAGGATACTGAACCTGTAACTAGAGGAGACGTATGTTACTTTACAAGAATTAGAGTTTACTTTCATATAAAGTTAGTTACCGTCTCCACTTCACTGCGATATCGAACATGTCTCTCCACTGCATTAGTCGTGTTTTTCCATTCATGCGAACCTTCGAGTTGGTCCATGTACGTTGCACAGCTTGCATGACTTCCAATGCTGCCAAACCCATGGCTAAAAGAAAAAAGTATTGAAACCAACTGAGTTTGTAAGTACAATTTGGAGGGACTAATTTTCACTCACTTTATAGTCTCAGTCACAACACCAGAGTCATTACATAAAGAAAGAATCACAAGTGTCGACTAGTTAATAAGCCAGGAGAACTGTTACAGCTGTGATGGTCTTACTAAAACTAAAATCTATCACAGGAAACTAGAGATACCACCAAAGATGTCTCCCCCAACTCTGCCTCCCACTGAAGCAACTTGGGGTTCAAATTTTCCCTCACTTCTAAAGTTAAGGAACAGCTTCTGTGGATCAGCTATCTCGAGGACAGTAGTAACTTAAGATGTATATTTTCTATTCCACACTATATTCTACATCTACACTATTGCAACAGTGCACTAGCACAGGCTGGATGTGGTCCTCTTTCAGAGTAAGTGATCACACTGAGATTTTGGGCAAGCACAGAAAATAATTTTTTTAAATCCAAACATGATTTAACAAGTCTTGTTCTTATGCCAGAAATATTTCCATTTTCAGAGAGTTGCAGAATACCTCTGTGTATCCTCTTGTTTGGAAGGAAACCAGGAGTTTCATATTGCATTAATGATCCCAAACGATCAGCTACACAAATCAGTTCTTGTACTTCAGGCTTATAACTCTCAAAATTCTGATGTAACACATCTCTGAAAGAAACATTACATATGTGATCAGGACTTCTCCATCAGACAACTGGCAATGCAATGTCACCTGAAAAACAACTACTCTCTCCACTGGAAATTAATCAAGAAACCTGTGACCATTAAATATTTACCTCAGTGCTTCACGCCCAACCACACACAAATTAAGACCAAATATTTATTTATGTATGTGCACAACCACCATCACATGCTTGTTGGTAACACTGCTAACTAGTTGGTAATTTAGAAGGCACCTGTGACTATATTTGCTTTGCAAACTTCTCCATGTGTGAACATCTGGGATACCTTCTGAGAAAGGCATCATTAGGCAGTAAACTCAAATGTCATGTCACTTTTCCCATAAAGCTCATAAGAAAATCTATAGAATATATTGTTTAGGGATATGTAGTTTACTAACTTGCTGCTTTTACATGTTATATTCTGAGATTAAGCCACACTGTTATATAGGTCATTTGCTTATACTGCTAGATAATATCCCACAGTATCACATGAATCCATTCTTGTGTTCATGGACATTTGGGATGATTTCCAGTTTTATGTTAGGTTAGCAGGCATGTCTACACTATTGCAATCTGAGTGAGCCTGTGCGAGTATGCCCTGTAACAGAAACAAGTCCTGCCCAGTGTTGGCTTCCACCCTGTGCCCTGAGCTGACAAGACAGGCTCTAGTACACGTGACCCTGAACTGGAAGAAGCAGGTCAGAAAATGAATGAATGAATGAATACAAGAGATTGTTTAATATTATAAGTGTTTTGGGTCTTTATTTAGAAGTATGGTGATGTTTCTGTTATCATAAATATAACAGAGGAACTAACTTTTATATCAATTAGCCTATGGCAAAATTGGTTTCATTATACCTCGTTCTGCTTAAAGTAGCAGTTTCCAAGAATCTATCAACAACTTTAAGTGAGATTGTACTATATATTTATACATTTTCTAAAGTTAAAACATGTTTCTATTCCTACAAAAAGTCCTCAATGATACGATGTTACCTTTTTTAAGCATGGAAGAACTTGGTTGGCTATATTTTATTTAGTATTCTTACATCTATACTTACATTCTTACATCTATACTTATAAGTGAGAATGGCTTCTATTTTTCCTTTTTATACAATCCTTGTCTGTTTTTGGTATTGTCATTATATTGGGCCTGCAAAATAATTTGATAATATTACCTTCTATTCTCTTGAAAGTTTGCTGGGACACCCTGCAATATCATTTTACTGAATGTATGTGGTACTTTTAAAATGTATTTGGTACATTTTACTGAAAGTATGTGGTACTTTAAGATGTATTTGGTACTTTAAAATATTCCACTTATGATCACAAGATCATACATTCAGTAAAATGTACCAAATACATTTTAAAGTACCACATATAAAGTTATATGTTATACCACATTATAAAGTACCACATAAGTACCACTTATGATCTTGTGATCATAAGTGGAATATTTTAAAGTACCAAATAAGCATCTTAAAGAATTACATAATTACTCAGATATTTTATTTCTTCTCAAATCAATTTGGTAAATTGTGACTTTCTAGGAACCAGACCATTTATTTCTGATCTGGTTTATTAAAAAAAAAAAAATTATTTGCATACAGATTTTCTTGGCATTCTCAGCATTTTAATATCTGCTAATCTTTGGTTTTATCTCCTTTTAACTTTGTTGCTTATAGTTTTTAGGTTTTTTTAACTAAATTTAGATTTTTTAATTTTTTTAATAAAAAAAATCAATCTCGCTAGAAATTTCTGTTAGTGATAAAAGGCAAAAGTTTTACTTTGGTGAATTTGTCATATATTCAGTTTTCATTAATTTCTCTCTATACTTACTTCCCCTCCTTTCTGCTTTCTTTGCTATTTTCTCTACTTCCTAATTCTTACACCTTATCTATTTGCTTTATTCCCAATGTAGTACTTAAGGATATTAATATTTTTTGTATTATCAGTTTCAATGCATTCCACACATACTGGTATTACATTAAATTACTACTGTGATTTCATTCTTAATCCATACTTCAATACATATACTTCTAAATTTCCAAATAAAGCGGACTTTTTTCCCATATATATTTTTAAAGATGCTGTGGTCAGATATGACACCAATTACTTTATATTTGAAATATCCATAGTCAGTGGTCAATCTTTGTAAATGATCTAAGTATACTTGAAAAGACTATGTATTCTTTAATTAGTGGGTACACAGTTTTATAGTAGACTATTTAGTCAGGTTTTTTAATTGTAATGTTTGAATAGACTAAATCTTAACTAGCTTTTTTGAGTTATCAAAAATTAGAATCTCTTACTATGATACTTGTTTATTTCTCTGTATATTCACGTTTTGATTTTATTTTTTTATCTATGGTCATTTTTTTTTTTTTTAAGATTTATTTTTATACAAGAACCGGGGTATAGGCCAGATGCGAGGGAGGGTGAGAGGATTCACCAGAGACAGAACAGGGAACAGAACAGGCAGACCGACGAAATAAACTGCTAAGGGGAGCAGCGGGCGAGACAGAAGCAGTTGGCTCGCCATGTGGGTTGCTCCGAGGCCGGCAGGGATCGATCGAACCAGCACTGCAGAGGCTGTGGACAGCTCCACAGTACTGCGCTCCACCACCTGCACCACCAGGGAGGCCCAATTTCTAGTCATTTTTGATAATTTCCTATTTCTTGCTCATGTTTCTAACTCCGTCATAATTTCACTTGGAGTTGTTTTTGAATGTGTATTCAACAATTCCAATATCTGAAGGACTTGTAGGTCTAAGTCTATTGCTTGTTTTGCTGTTGATACTTGCACATAATTTCGGTGATCTTGCTTTTTGATTCTCACACTAATGATCTTAGTTTGTGAGAACATGGAGCCCAAATTGGCACTAATTTCTTGACAGGGAGGATTTGCTTCTGCTGAAATCCTAGGAAGGCCTCCACTATGAAATCATGTTAGTCCTTTGAAGTTCAGCAAGCTCATCTGTCTGTGCCTCAAGGCACTCCATGACAGCAGCTGTTAGATACTTATGCAGGACATTTTCTTCCTTCTAAATTTGATTCTCATTTACCACTCTAGTTTGAATACCCCTCTTTTCTTTCCTTTTTAGAGAGTAAAGAGGCTAATATTTAGATATGTCTCCTAATTTTTAATGCATTGCTGAGTCTCCCAGGATTAATTTAAATTCTGTTTTTCAATGGCATAGTCCTTTAGACATACCCATTTTAATGTATTGCATCAGTAGTAATGCAGCACTGTGATCTCAAACTTTCAAACGTAATTTCTCTTAACAGTAACATGGTTAAAAAAAAACACATAGCAAAAACTGTCAGTAAGTATGTGTACATTTGAAGTTTTAAAGTGGCCCAAAGCTAGCAGGGAAATTCAGATTAGAAGGAAAAATGATACTCAATGGTAAGTTTTAAGGAATTTTATAAACTAAATATTTGCAGACATATCAAATCCAAAACCAAATTCATTAGAAATATGAATAGTCACTGGTTGATCAAGAAATATCATGATGAATTTATAGCTCAAGCCTGAAAAAGGAAAAAAAGTCATCTTCTCACTTTATGTGGGGTTGCAATCCTGGCTGCTCTTCATAGTCTTCTATGAGGAAAGGCAGATTTTTAGCCCAGTGGTCTTTAAAGTTTCCAGGCAGATCCACATCAATGTTATATTCCGTAAGGGGCGTATCAAGGTGTGCATGGAGATATCGAGAATACTCTGCAGACAAGAAATGAGATTTGACATTTCCAAGTACTGCTAAAGAAATATTTTTTATAACTAACTGCTATACAAATACATGTAACAGTTATTTAAGAATTCATAATGGAGACTTCCAATTTTGGTAAATCACCATTATATGATAAGATATTATATGACAACCAGGGTAACTTGAGTTACAACAGTCAAACAGAGCCAGTCAATCTGTTTTCACTCTGGCTAAATGTTAATCATCTCATGAACTACACAAAAGATCTCACATTTCAATTCCAGAGTCTGAGAATTCAAGCTCAGCGTCAGAAAGAATCTGATTCTGTCAAGTGATAGATCCACTGGCTGTATACACAATTTCATCCACTGACTGAACAACTACAGTTTATCTCCACAGACACAATGTTGAAAGAAATAAGATGTGGAGTGCCCGATCCTTGAGACTATAAATCGCAAATCCAAGTCCTACCAAACCAGGAATAAAGGAATTGTAACTTAGAGTACACGGCTGTGCTATCCAATGTGCAGACCCTAACCCCTGGCTATTTTGTACTTAATATGTAGTTAATGTGACCAAGAAACTGACTTTATTTTATTTAACTTGAATTAAATTTAAAAAGTGGTTAATTCAGCAGAAAACTTATATACATTTGGAACAGCTTACATATATGAATTTTTTTCAACATTAAATTTTATAATTTATAACTGAATCAAGCATTTCCAATGAAAATTCAGCATCCAAATTGAGATGTTCTGAAAGTGTAAAATACATACCAATATCAGACTTAAGTATGAAAAAGAACGTAAACTATGTAATGAATGGTGTTTTCATATTAATTTATGGTGAACTAATATTGTGATGTGCTGAATTAAATAAAATGTATTATTAAAATTAACTACAACAAAGGAGAGATGAGGCATCTCATATGAAAAAAATATCTTTATGTATGGCAGAGAAAGGTAAGACTATGACTAATAAATGGATAACCAAAAGATTGCTTTCTTCTTCATCCCCACTTAAATTCTGATACAAAATAATGACAGATCAAAGGGTGACTCATGAAGGGTAACTTCCCTGCATTCCTATCTTTGGATGAGATGTGGCAAAACCCAGATGACTGTCATACTTCTTTCAAAATGGTTTTTTGACTTAAGGAAAAATTTTATTAACTGTAGAAAGAAAACATAGGAAGTGGCAGAAAAAGCACTGCATTGGTCTGTAGAAGACAAGGATGCCACCTCTAAGCCAGATATCATTAACCAGGGAGTGACCACAGGCACATTATGGGGCTTCTTCAAGACTCAACTATCTATTACAGAACAAAAGACAGACAAGCATTATGATTTCTACAGCACTGAACATTAAAATTTAAAAATTCTGCCATTTTCTGACTTACCTCGCAGATATTTTACTTTAAGATACTCTGGGCTAGCCTTCTGACCTGGGAGGGGATCATTCAGCATAACTTTAGTTTGTGCTTTTATCCCTTCATAAAACTGTCCCATTGCAACATGGCTAAGTCCTTTCATATACTGGCACACCTCGTTATAAGGCTCAAGCTGTAGGCACCGCTGAGACAGGAAGGAGAAAATATTGCATTAGTATCAACATAGTTTATGAAATTTTAAAATGCTTTATTCTTTAATCTAAAATTAGAAGAGTTTTCCCTTCTGTTTAATTAAGACCAATTACATACGCTGTAAATTAGGCAATGGTTTTTGGTTTCTTCTTCTTTGACCCACCCTCCGCACACCAGCATTTGCTTCACTAAACTTTTTATGTATACATATTTTTTTCACATCATTTTTCATTATTGTACAATGTATGCATTTTCATCTCAGTTATAGTCCCCATGAAATTCCCACCACCCATTCACCTGTGAACTATCACCATGGTCCCTTGTTTTCTTCCCACCCCTGTTTTGATCCTACTCCCTTCTCCCTCCCGGCAGAAGAATAATCCAAGAACTTCAGTTATAGCCTCTCACTTATAGATACTCACCTTGAAGTTTTTAAGGGCTTCCTGTAAGCTGCCATGGTGATAAAGCATCATTCCTCGGAGTTGGAGGGTCTGTACATGATTTTGGTTGAGCAATAGTGCCTTTTGAAAGCTCTCAGTGGCTGCTTCAAAATTGCCCAGCTCTCTAGGTATTTAACAATTATGAAAAAAAAGGATTGACATTTCAGTAAATGTGCAGAATAAGTTATCCTCATGATTATGGTTCAATATGTGAACACTTTGATAAGTGTGTTCTCTTTCTTATTTTACCACTTACAGCTATGTAATGTTTGATAGATCACATCCCACTAACTTTTTCTAATCTTATCAGAATATGGGATAACCAAGGCACTCTTGAAATTCTTTTGGGGAAAACTAATTTATTGATTTCCATAGGCAAATGCTTATTAAATCCCTTTCAATTCATTGTGTGTTTCTAAAAACTCTGTGAAAATTGTGTTAATTGAAAGAAACATATACTTCTCCTTTGGAAGAAAGTAGGGAGGTTGCATTCATACAGATATTTATTCTGAGTCAAATGCACAGGCTTAAAATTCTACTTTTTATCACTTAAGTTCCTTAAAATTTAGAAATCATTATGCAATTTAAAATTCTAAAAAAAGAAGCATATTTAGAATTGTGATCATTTTATAGTGGAAATGGTTATTACTGACCAGCCCTCTTTTACATTAAATTTTTACAATATTAATGCTTTCAAAATATGATAAAATATTTTGAAAATACTTTCAAGTATGATAATATTCTATAATAATGATTATTTTTTAAAAATATAACACCCACTTACATTTACACAGCACTTTACTATTTAGTAGGTGCTTTCAAGTCTGTTTTCAACTTATATTTTCAACAATTCTGTGGGGCAGGAAGGATAAATAACATCCCTTAAACTCAAAACAAAACCCAACATTTCTTTCTTCAAGTTAGTGAAAGCGCTTCTCCAAATATTACATCAGATAAATTCTTGAATTTAATCCTACCCATATAAGATATCTGAGTTTTGAAGGAAATTTCTGTTACTTTCTTTCTAATTTTTATTGTACTTTTTAGATACATATTTTTATTTATTTATGCATACAAGAACTGGGGAGTAGGCCAGAGATGCAGGAGGGAAGGTGGGTAAGAGGATTCACCAGAGACAGAGTAAGGATCTACTGAAACACACTGCTAAGGGGAGAAGTGGCAAGACAGGAGAGGTCTGGTATACCATGTGGGTTAGCTCCCTGGCCGGGGATCAAACTCATGCCACAGTGGCTGCTGATAGCTTGATAGCACTGAGACTTTAACCCCTGTGCCACCAGGGAAGTACATTATTGTACTTTTTAAAATGAGAACTTAGAAGTGCAGAGAAGCTAAGCATACCCAATTGTAGAAAAGGCAATCCAGAATTAGAACCAAATCTCTTTACTCCTAAATCCTGAGCCCCTTTCATCATGCCATACCATCTCATCTTTAGGTCAGAGTGTAAACAAATATCTAGAGTCAAAAGTCAGAATAGTTCTTCAGTCAGGGCAATGCATAGATTCAGAAAGACAGGTAATAGGCACTTCTCATTCCTGAAGGAGCTATATCATTATTGTAACTTTCCTATCCCTTTATTTTAGGACTCCTCAAACAGATCATAGTGGTTGGGGAATTAACCTTAGTTACTGGCTAAAAATCAATATCATCTATAACTCAACAGCTTATAATGGCACTATTGATAACAATAACCCTGGAAAGGCTAATCTTCAATGAACTGAAGTTGTTTTAAGATACATACATCAGAATATCCCCTGACAAGCAGCTCTTTCTAGATTCCAGTGAGAATCTCAACAAGTATGCACATGCCTATGTCACTCAGAATGTAATATCTTTTCAAAGATCACTGTTAGGGTCTCTCTGGTGGCACAAGGGGTTGGGTCTCGGCACTATGAAGCTGTCAGCAGCTACTGAGCATGAATTAGATTCCCAGCCAGGGAGCTAACCCACATGGCACAGCAGACCTCTCCTGACTCGCCCACTGCTCCCCTCAGCAGTGTATTTCAGCAGATCTGCCTGTTCTGCCCCTACTCTGTCTCTGATGAATCTTCTCAACCCCATCCCCTGCATCTCTAGCCTATATATACCCCAGCTCTTGCATGCATAAATAAATAAAATAAATCTTCAAAGATTTATTTGAAGAGCCCTATTACATGAGGCCATCTTATCTCCCCAACTCTACACCCTCACTTCTATCCCAATAGCCATTACTTTACTTACCTATAGGCCTGCCCCAAACTTTTATATGCATCAATAAAATCAACTTTTTGCTTCAAAGCTTCTTTGAAGGATTCAATAGCTTCCTAAAAAAAGTATATAGAAAATTATTTCATTTGCATAAGTTTTAAGTTTCATTTAAAATACTAAAGGACTTAATTATGTATTATACATGATCTCTGAGTGATTTTTTTCTTTTATAAATACAAGGACTTAAAAATTAAAAGAGAGAGGTAGAATGTACAATAAAGATAAGGCAGGAGATTTTAATTTCTATAGCAAACAAATGCATTACTACAAATAGTAACAGACAGAGCCTTACGTTCTCCCTTTCAAAGTGGGAAAATAGTTTCTCACTACCTATTCCATTAGGACTTGGAATACTAATGATATCAACTTCATACTAATAACATTTCCTTAACTAACAAAATCCCTAGAAAACTAAAGTAAGCCTAATAGTTGTGTGAAATAGTTCAAAATGATTATAAGTAGCAGCATTTAAAATCGAACCAACAAAATAGCAAGCCCAATGTAAAACTGTTTTAAAAACAAGCAAAAAGGGCTCCTACATTAACTGAAGAATTGCTACAAGAAAAAAGCAAGGTAAAACAAAACAAAATAGATGCCTTAAATGTCGGGGGCACTTGGGACAGAGTTGTGCCAGTACGTCCCCAGGTCTGCAGGGGCACTACGCTTTAGAGAGAAGCCCTTAGGACACATAGTGCACTGGGAACTCTCGCTGAAAACTACTAATATGATGTATTATTCTGTTTTAGAATCAACATCCTAGGTTTAAACCAGTATTGAATGTAGTAGCATCATGACTTGACTATTTACTGCAATAAAAAATTAGGAAGACATTTTACATATTTCCCAAGGAAAAGATGCATCTTACTTAATTTAGTAGCTACTAAGTATCATGCTCTGTAATAACTTTACTAAGAAAGATTTTAGAACTTGTGTGATAGATTGTTTCACACCTGATTAGGTAATTTTTCATAGCAGGAAACTACAAAAGATGTCTATGCCTTGCACATAGTAGGCACCCAATAAATATTTAGAATTTGGTAGGTGCAAAAAATGGTTTTGCGAAAGAAGTTTTTTTAAATTATTCATTCCTTACTTCTTGATATTCTCAGTGAGGAGTGCAGCAGGGCAAGAGAAACTGGCTTTCAAAGGCAACAGTGGGACTACCACTCACTTATTAAGGAATCCCAATGAACATCTATTAATTGTAAGCATAAGAATGGCTAAATTTTAACATTTAAGAAATGTTAAAGATCATTCTTAGTTGGCCTTCCTGCTTTGTTACTGTCTTGATCTTTCAGGATTTTTACAACTGTATTTTTAATTCAACAAACATGTATTGAGCACCTACTATGTGCCGGGACAAGGTGAGGAACAGGGGACATAAAAGTGAGCAAGTCATTATCTCTGTCCTCTAAGAACTCACTAGTTAGAAAGTCTAGTTAGAAAGCCAATTATTGAACCAGGTTATCAGAATACGGACTAAAAGCTACAATATAGATATGAGTAAAAGTCTCTGGGAATAAAGAGAAAGAAACAACTAACTGAGCCTGGGGATACCAGAACAAGCTTCACAGAGGAAATGACAATTGAGTCAGGGGTCTTGGACAATGAGAAGGAATCTGGCAAAGAAAGAGGGATTCTGGGACAGGGGAAATGCTACTGTGCAGTGGCACAGCAGGCTCAGAAACAGACAGAAATACAGAGCCACAGGAGTAGGGAACACGGGTGGGAGTGGGGGAGAAGGGAAGAGACTGGGACCAGGCCAGAGTGGTAAGCAGGGGCCAGAGAGGGCGCGGCCTCTGCCGTGCTCTGCATTCTGGGCATTAGCCCACAAGCTGTGAGGACAAAACTTACTGGAGATATTATCACTAACAACACAGAAGACAGACAGGAGAGGGGAGAAAATGGAGCCCAAGTAGGAGGTAGCTACAGTAATCCAGGCAAGAGATAATGAAAGCTCAAAGTGAGAAAAGAAGGGTCAAATTCAGGAGACGGTTCTAAGGTAAACTAAGACAGAACTGGCTGGCTATGTGGGTATGGGAGTGAGGCAGAAGGGACAGGAAGCTTTTAAGCTGAAGAGCCTGGGTGGTGGTGAGAGCGTTAACCACAGGAGGAAGGACAGCTGCAGGGTGGGTGGGAGGAGGTCAGGAGTCCAGTTGGGGCTTGTTAAGGCTGGAGTGTGTGGACGTCTAGTGGAGATGCCCAGGAGACATCTGCTGCCCACTGCACTTACAGCATGCTTGGACGCCACAGTTCTTCAAATTCTGATTTCTCTTCAGCTTTTAAGAGTCTTTGGTTTCGGGGTTCCTGTCTAATCACTGCACAGCTCTCTACCTCATTCTGCCAAAGAGGGGACATAGCAGAATCAAGATTTTAAGCCATTGGGAACAAAGAAACTACGTTTGAATCACTCTGTAAGCATATGACTGGCTCTGAATTCATTTGCACAGCGCATGTATTGTCACCACTTTAAGTCTCCATCCTTCTTACTAGCCGGTGGGCAGCCATCACTCTCAGGCAGTTTGTTGTAACTAAGAGAATAATTTCAGAACTCTCAAGTCAAGGCTGACAAAAATATGGACTGTTGCTCAGAATATACAATTTTTGAAATATCCTTACAACACAGATAAAACAGAACTCCATGGAAAAGTGTCTGCAGTTTTTTCCTAGGAAAATAAAAAATGTCTGATAAATCTACTGTATTGGACACTTGCAAAATTTGTAATATAATATTGCCTGATATATTTTAATGTAGTATATACCACAAAGTAAATGAGCAATCACCTACTTAATTTCTAAATTGCTATTGACCTAGAGAGACCACCTTTAGGATATAAAGATAGCTCAAGCTCATTGGTCCATTTAATATCTTGTCTCTACAGTTAACAAGAGAAATAGAGATAACTGAACTAAGATCATTAATTTAATGAAGGCATGTCACCACTGACTCAGTTTTCCAATCTGTGTAACTGGGACACCCTCTGCTCCTTCTATACTTCATGGGGATGCCGTTGGGATGAATGAGACAATACGTAAACACTCTGACCTCCTCGGACAGCAGATCTATAAAAATGCAAAGAAAAAGTTCCCAACTATTACACACATTGATGCTGTGTTTATGAGCATGGTGAAAAGGAGAAAGGACCAAATACTTTGGGATGACCGTTTCACTGGGGAGCTTCTAATGCTCAGAGAATGAAAGCAGTGTTTCCAGGTTCTTATCATGTAGATCTGGGCTAAAGAGCCAAACTGAATTTTAATCTTGTCCAATTTGTGGCTAGTATCTCTGTTACAGAGAAATTCTCATTCCCAAATAACCTGCAGAGCCCAGGCCCAGCCCACATTCCTAAACCTGGTTTTATAGTAACAAAGTTTAAAGGGAAATCACCTGTTTGCAATTGTTAACTTCAAAAATATTTCAAACTTCTTAACACTAATAGTTGGTATTTTTTATATTTTTAATATTTTCTCCTCCATGAGGTAGAGGTCAAGGGATAAGATTTGAATATGATATTGTGATTTTGAGTTTTTTCTTTTAAATCTAAGGTGCCTGAGAGAAGATGAGAGGAATAGTGGGCAGATATGAAATGAACTGGAAAAGTCAATCTGGCAGCTGCAAAAGCACATTTTATGGACTCTCAAAGCCTGAGGCTGCCAGCCTGAATCCTGAGGGAAGAGAGAAAGAGAGCCCTTATGAGGACTACCCTCCACATACCTGCAACATGCATGTGAGGAGTAGGAAATTTTGCAAATTATTTTGAGGGAGTTTTGTTGTTGTTGTTGTTGTTGTTGTTTTTAGAATCTATGACATTTAATTTTTCACATGTGAAATAATCTGTAATGATTAATACCTGATTCACGTTTACAGCTTACAAAGTACTTTTCACATGCATCATTTTATTTAATGCTCCCAATCACTTCAAGAGGCAGAGTTAGAATCATCTCTACTTGATAGATGTGGAAGGAGAGGATAAAAGAGCTTAAGTAACTTGTCCCACGGTATATATAATTAATATGATTGAGAGGAGAGCTCAAACCAAGGCCTTCCAACTCCAAATTCAATGCTCTGTCCTCGAAATTCATTCATTCCATTAATACTTATTGAGCACCTACTATGTGATAGGCACTGTCTATAACACTAAGGATTTACAACATTCGGTCTTTTTCAACCAAAAACCTTGCCCCCGACCTCTGGTGCATATATGTGTGGATATGTATGTTCCTCAAAGTATTTGAAATGACAAAATACATGTTCCTCCTGCCAGAAGTACCCTTCCCTGCCACATGCTATTGAAATGCCTCACAGCTTTCAAAGTCCAGATTGAGGACGCCCTTCGCTCTGAAGACTCTCGACTGCCTCATCAGAATGAAGTGTGCTCACCACTGCAGGCTAACTGTGTTGGCTCTTAATCTGTCTTCAGTCAGGCAGTTTTGATGTGTCCTGTACTAGAGCACTTAGTATGTGCCAAGCCTGGGGCACTCAGGAAGGCAAGAGAAGAGACCCAGAGCTTCACTCGCAGGAACGTTTCCAACCCCCTCGATGTTGGCACAGAGTTCCTGCACAATAGAGTCTCAACATGTGCTCAGAGAATGCAGAATCAAGGGCCAGGAGCAGGAGGAAAGGAGAAGCTGGTGACACTTGTACCCCGCTTTTAAGATAGTTTAAACAAGCCTTTCTAAGTTTCCCTCAAATCACCTACCAATTGCAGTCAATCTTCAAGTGATAGTAAAAAACAATCAATTGCAGAAAGGTCCTCCAACCTGTTCCTGCAGCCTCCGGGGGAGCCACATGAGGTCTTACCACCTGGCCTGGAATGTCTCCTCATCAGGTTTTCTGTCCCTAAGCTACTCAGCCACTGCCGTGTCAAATCCACTTCCTAAAATGACAGATTTGGTCTCAACTATGTATTTCCTTCCAAATCTAGATTTCTACAGTTCCTTTGGGCCTATAAATTAAAGTCAAAATGCTCAACACAGTACTCCAGGCATTTTAGGACCTCCCCACAACCAAGTCTCCAGCCCCCGCTGCCTTAGGTTCAAACCCTACTATTTACCACTCTCTAAATGTGGCTGTATTTCCATGTCTCAATATCTCTTCTGTGCTCTTCTCTGTCTAAAGTGCCTTTCTTCCTTCACCTAAGCCTACTCCATCTACAAAGTGCAGAACAAAGACTATCTGTTCTCTGGAACGTTCTCTAACTCCATAGTTTAAATGAAGCTGTCTTAGCTGTTTCCTAACAACTTCTCTTATTTACTTTCTTTAATGTATTTACCATACCATAAATTCTATGTAGAAAAAACTTTGTAAACTGCATCCTTTATACGTGTAAATTATTACTTCTCCTTCTTATAGGCTTTTATTCTCGCCCCTTCTGTAGCTTCCTCCAAGTACCTACCAACTAGTAGGAGCTCAATAAATGTGTTGATTCAAACTACTTGCTATTAAATAAACCAATTAGATAGACAAAACATGTCAAATGAAATCCCACTAACTTCTTCCCATAAAAGAAAGCAAAGTCATACTGTACACAGCACTTTCACCTTTAAAAGTCCTCTGTGAAAGAAAGTTAAACCTTTGTATAGCATAGCTATAGGCTGGTTTTTGTTCAATTCTAAGGACTGCTGAAAATCTTCATGGGCTGTTGCATAGTCCTACAAAAAGGAAAGTGGGGAAAAAATGAAGTAGTATTCATTAGATATTTCAACATTTCCTACTTTTGATTGGTAGAGAAAAAAAAAAAAAAACCAATTCATTCCATGCCATTTTGGGCTTTCTTTAAAGGAAACATTTCATGACCATAAATATTAGTTGAATGCTTATACTTGCTTGCTGAAATAGTTGATTTTATTAGAAAATAGGAAAAACTCACGTAGGTTTAATGCAAGAATATTGTCTCAATTACAAAAGGAATATTATTTTTAACACTAATAAAGTCACAATCATTTAGAGAGCTTGACAAATTATTTTCTGGAAACAAGAGTTTTATATTATATATTATACACATAATACAGAAGTATTATCCTGAATACTTCCAAAATAATTATGAGTTGTGCTAAGATTTTAAAAATTTATTTTCTCTTGGGAAATTGCTATTAAAATTACTGTAAACCTACAAAAATAACTGTGACATTCATAAATACTACTATGAGGATAAAAGATAATCTCATTAGATTAGGTCATTTACATCGAGAAGCTAGAGTCTGGGAAATCATGTTAGCTCAGGATATGGTTCTTGGGTTGTGATACTCAGAGATTTAAATTGTACCTCTAAGTTTTATAATCACATTGTTAACATGCACTCCTGCTCCCCTACATCCACATTTGCAAGAAAAGTGAAAGTATTATCTAAGAATCAAATTTTTCTTCTCTATCTCTCTCTGTCTCCTCTTCTAGTTCAGATATAGTTACCGCTTACAATTCAAGCAAGAAAATGAGTTCTCAGTAATTAATATTTCTCCACTGGATTCAGTTTCATCTAAATAAAACATTTCTGTAAATGTCTTGTATCTCAAACATATTCCTCAATAATAGCAGCCTCAATAGCAGCTTTCTGAAATAAAAAGTAAAATGAAATCTGTATTATCATGAAAGGAAATGAGGCAAAAAGAACTCACTTCTGAGATGAAGTAGAGGGTCCCCCGATGTCTGTATAGCCGTGCTGACGGTTGAAGCTGAATAGCTTTAGTGAGATCATTCACTGCTTCATTAATTCTTCCCAGAGGAGACAGAATCTATAAATCCAAAAATATAATTAGGGAAGAAAAATTTCAATGGTCAATCCTAAACTGCCAGTGTTTTTTTTTTTTTTTTTTTTTTTACTTCAATTCCACTTTACTATACTCCAATAACAGTATTACTCTCAGCAGACTAGAACCTTGACGCCCACATACTATGCAGTGAGGCTCAAAGTCAACAAACTGAAGGGTCACTAGTTCTTGTCCAGCCAAAGGAGAGATGGATGAACTATGACTGCAGCTACTGCTTTTTCATTGTTCCGCATTCTGGGTTATAACAGAGGTTGCTTTTCTTGAAGAGTGATCCTTTCTTTCCTCAACCTATCTTTTATCTTTCAAATCAAAACTTGGCATAGCAGAACTAGTTTGAAACCATTAATCTTTGAATCATTAAAATAGAGAATGTGTTGAACACAGATTTGAGTACTCTATGATCCTTAGCTATTCCCCTTGGTTATAAGTACTAAATGACAATATTTAGGATTGTAGGTGTTTTGTAAGTCCTTTGCATTAACAGTTCTTAACTCATCAGTCATGATCTGCAAAGTAGGAGGAAAAAAAAGATCTGCAAGCCTGTTTGGAAAGCTTTTCTGACCCAGCAATCAGTTTATGTTCAGGCAACACAGTACAGAAGACAGTTCAGATTGTTACAGTACACCACAAAGATGTAAGAGGATCCAAAATGGGTATCAGTATTCACACAATCAAGCTCAAGCATTTTACCCTGAAAAAAATGTCTTAAATTCGAGTTTAAGTTCTTCTTTTAACATAGGGCATGTCTATCAAATTTTACTAACGGGCTTCCTACTCTGAAAAACCAGCAAAAGAAGATTCAGGGAGGCACAGCACTAGTGACAGGATTTGGGACACAGTAGAGGAAAGAAACAAAATGTATGCCTGGGAATTACAAAAAACATATGATCAGGATTATATTTTGGGATGAAAACATCCCTACCTAGGTTATTACCTCCTAGTTATATAACTGAATTATCATACCCTGGGTACAATAAGAATATGCATGATGACCCAGCTAACTAAAACAGATTAAATTATGTCCATTAAATTGACTATTTCAGAAAGTATGCAAATGAGAATACCCATAAAATAATTTCTAATATATATACATGGGATGCTAAAATTTAGCTGAAAAATCACTTACATAATGACATTTTTGCCCAGTAACGTCAAAAAAAAAAAAAAGACTAGTACTATATATTTCTAAGGCAACTGAAAATTACTTTTCTGATTACCATTATCATTTTTGGATACACAATTAGCTTTTAGTTAGACATACAATTTTTAAAATTCTGCTAAATAAGTCTAAGTACATGTAATTAAATTCATGCTGTATCATAACATTTTAATATAACATCAAAGTAATACAGGAAAAAGTGTCAGCATCCCTTCCCTGGTGCAGAGAATCACAAATCAGCGACCAAATGCTCACATTAAAGACCACTCTCATGCAGTGCAGAACAAATTACAATCACTTAACCCTCATACAATTATAATCCAAAATAGACGAGATAATATCATTAATTGAGAATTTTATTCAGAAAACCAAATCCCCAAAGTAACATGAAATTCACTTTAAGAAACTGAACTATAACACATTATTATTCTGGGAACAAAAATATTACAAATGCAGTTTTTAAATCACTAAAACATTTAATGCTACCTTTAACTGTCAAGTTTTCTCCCCCCAAGAGAAAAAAAAATGTCATTTTTTCCCTTCAGTTTGACTATGAAATCTTGCAGATTAGATGATTGAAGATGTTTTATTCAAATGGAGTACATTAACATTAAATTCTACAGCATTTAACATGGTCAAATGTGCAGTAAAATAAATACAGCATGAAATACGGATAATTTAGTACTATTTTATGGAAATAGTAAAATGAACACATTACATTAATAAGAGTGCATTTGCACACCTTTCTCTGACCTGAACACTCATCTTCCCCCATCTCTCAAAACACTGCCATTACCTCAGTGAGGCCTCTGCAGACAGTCCCGACACCCACCTCTCCTAGAACTCCAGCAGGCCATGTCTTCCTGTTGCTGAAGAAGTACCTCCCCTCAGTGTCTACTCTCATAAGTAGGACCTGATATTTTCACCACATTATCTCTCTGTCTCCACCGCAAGTCATAAATTTAATCAAATTCTGGTTATAGTCAACCTTATATTGATAGGTATGTCTCATAAGAATTATATGTACACGTACATACATACATACACAGATAAGCACACACACATACACACATTTAAGTCTATGATTTGCATTTTACCATATAGCCATGTTACATTTACTAAAGTATGTCATACAGTAACTATCATGAGTGATATATTTTTCAATAACATTGATAGTAGTAGTACATGTGACAATCATGGTTATGTTACATCTTACTATTATATTACTATTAAATTAGGAGTCTCACTCTAATAATTTCAACCAGGTTTAAAGACATTTAGTACCTATGAAGGAACACACAATAGAATAAGGGAGTTTTAAAATTTACAAGTAATAAAATAATAGGAAAAAATCTTGAGATTTAACTAATCCAATAATGACAAAGGGAAAAAGAAAACCAAACTCACTTCTGCACGCTGCTCAAATACCTCTGGACGATCTGGTTCCAAGGTAATTACTCGGCTCAGTTCAAACAGAGCAAGCTCAGCATTCTTAATGTCCTTGAAAAGGCATTAGCTTAGTATGAGATATACTGTTACTCAAAACCAAGTTGAATAGATTTTCTGAAAAAATAACTTACTCATGATATAACTACTTTTTTAGAAATAAATATGAACTTAGTTTCTGTATAAGAGATCTGCCAAGTTAAATAAGTTATATTCTATTTATTAAGTTTACTCAAGACTTTCTACTCAAAAATAGTAAGTTGGACCTGTCTACTATTATAAGCTCCAGAGATAAAAGGATATTTTCTAAATTTAACCTAATTAAACAATGAATCAACAAATTTTAAGGGACAGATATGTGGATACCAGCAAGTGAAATGATGCTGACTGGTGATAATGCACGAAAAAAGATGGGTCAAATCTGTGTCTATCAAAATCCACAAGACCATATTTCTACATTGTAAGAGGTCTACATAAATTCTCTTTCACATTTGCAATTATTTGTACCTTAAAAATATATGAGCATGTTACTTTCACATTGAAAATACAAACAAGTTTCTGGTCAAGATGTAAAATTAAGAGATGAGAATTAGGAAGAAACAGCTTCTCTCTCACTTTTACCAGGGCAACTTCAGTCATTTATTGATGCTCTTCAATAAATGATGAAAGTAACATTGCTTTCTTCCTAAATATCTACTTTAGTTTCAAATCTGAGTTCTTTTCAATCTTCTATGTCTCAGAAGTATACAAACATTATAAAAATTCCCCAATAGGGCAGGACCCCATTAATACAGTTCTTTTAATGGTCAAAGATATCAAAGTGGGGTTTCTCCTTCAAAGCATAATTTCATTGGGTATTTTTAAAAACACAGTAAGATCAGGAAGTTTAAAAATAATGTTCTGTACTAAAAATTGGGTACCTGAATCTTAGACTATTTCATCATTTACTATATAATCTTAGGAAAGTCTTCATTTTTATACAATGGTGCCTTTGTTTGAATAAATCTTCGTGCCTTTCTCAGAGAAATAAGGGTAATAATTTGATCACAGCTACAAAAATACACCTATCTAGAGAGAGAATAACATAGGATAACAAATAAAAATATAGTTTACAAAATACTTTGTTCCTTTATCCAAGCTTTAAAATTGTGAAAGGAACTCAAAATCTAAGTCCTACTGTGCTACTGATTCCTAGTCTCCCCATTACCAATGAGTATGTCTTAGGAATTCAGTCAAAGTTTCATACTTTACTTGGTCTATGTCCAGTTCATCACACAAAAAATTTTTGCCTGGCAAAGGCTGTCCGTTTGGAGTAGAAAGTATGGCAAATTGGCTTTAGAAGACCTGGTTTGAAATTCCCAGTCCACCACCCTAGCTATTTGACCTTGAGTACATCCTCAATTGTCATTTTCTCATCGTGAACTGAAGCAACATCACTGGACGTTCCATCAGAGCTCAAGGAACAGTTGAGAGTTTCTACCAGAACCCTGGTCCATGTCAGGTCATGTAGGCACTATGGCAAGCATAACTATTCCAATACTCACATGTAGTCCCTTCTTTCCATAGGCTATCCCTCGGCCATAAATTGCACTAACCAGATCAGGCTCCTCCTAGTCAGACCAAAACAGAGACACGTCAAAAACTATAAACAAAAAAAAAAAAATCAGTTTCTGCTTAAAGTATGTTAAAGCCACAAGTGACAGCTCTACTTCTTTATGCTACCACCACTGATAAGTCAATCCACAGTCCCCAACCAAAAGTCTATATTCTAAGACACATGAGTTTTTCATTTAAAAATAGTGAGTCAATATTACTGAGCTCTGTGCTAGTTTCTTTCAACGTCGTTGTTTTATTTAAAATGCAATCCTCTCCACAGCTCTATGATTGGCAGCACCAGAAATCATATCTTACAGAAAAAATAAAGACTCAAAAATAAACAGATATGAGCAAAAGATTGGGTAATGTCTCTTCCTAGTTTGTCCCTTTCCATATAGCCATGCAGTAATCTGGAAAAAGAAAGCCCCCTCAGTGCCAGCATAAAGAGGAATGAGAAATAAGTCAGCTCCACAGTCTGTCAGGGATTAATATAGTCTTTTATACTAGTGGGTCAAAATTAAAACTCAGATCCTTTCTACAATCTTCCCCCAGATGGACTAAGTAAACACCTCTGAAGGCCCCAGGACACAGAGCTTCTGCTGCTCCCACTATCTCATTCCTACACACAGGTCACTGGTATGAACTGTCATCCCTACAGAGTAAAATCACTCTTCTCTACATTTAACCTTTGCAATTTTCACTTCCTCTCTGAATCCTTCACTATATATTTAAGAAAGAAGATAAACAGCCTCTGGCTACAGGGTCCTGTGTGAAAGTCTTGACACTGCTGAATAATTTAACTGAACTGTACCAGACAAGACATTTTAATGCCTAATCTATTGTTCTGTTTCAAAACTGAGATAAGGTGTCCCTCAGTGCCGCTGAAAAATAACAAGGAAACGATATTATTTTTAGCTTCTCTTGGAAAATTAAAAGATTTACAAAGAAAGGACCACATTCTGGATTTCTCATGTGCAAAACTGTAAGGAGAGCTGTCCCTTGAGATGAAGGGGGAGTATGCTTACCCCAAGCCCACTCTCCACTTTTATACTATGTTAATTCACTTTGCTCATTTAAGTCACCTTCCTGGCTCCCATATAGTTAGTGATTAGTGATTTATAAGTTATATGTAACTGGCATGAAATGTTGTTCATGCTATATGTTAAACGGAAAAAAGTACAAGTTACAGAACCACAGAGAAATGAAGTTACTTATAAATAATACCCATATAGACTGTATGGGTGAGGAAGTGCCCCAAAAAATACTCTCCAAAAAACTAACAGCAATTTTCTCTGGAGAATATAATTGCTAGATACATTATCAGTCTCCTTAATAAACTACTGTATTCCTTTTAATTGTTTAAAACAAACATGTATATCTATAATTAGGAAAAATTGTCTATGTATTATTAAAAATTTTATTTAAATTTTATTATAAATAGAAAATTTATTATAAATTATGGACAATTTAGAAAACAAAAAGCACCAAGAAAAGGGATGTATACCCTATAATCTTGCCACTCAGAGATAATACTTTCAACATTTAAATATCTTTCCCGACTTAAAGAAAGGCAGAGAAAGTAGTTTGGAGGGAGAGAGAGTTGGGGACGAGGGAGGGGCAGAGCAGGAAAAATAATTACCCATTAACACTGTCTTCATATTTTTCAGTATGGATAATGCCTGCCAGAATATAGAAAAAGAACAGAATAGAATCTCGACCATGCTGGGAGGGGGGCAGTAGCTCATTCCCTGTAACATTCTCTAGTGAGAGGAAAAACTACTCTCAGATTCCTAGTGTCTCAAAATATACCATCCAAGCTTTTCTCGTACAATTGAGTAAAATTTTATACCCAATGACCAAGAGGTAAGTCAGAAAAAGGCATATGTAAGTAAAAAGTTATTCTAGATATTACCACATAAAAGAAATCTTCCCAAAGATGAAAGAAATCCTGGCAATTTCACTTACTGAATATATCTGGTGTCTCTCCCTCCTGATCCATCAGCCACTGCTGTATATTTGAAACTTCCTCTCTCATTTAGGCTACTGTGATTGCTTAATCATTTTCTTGTTTCTTCCAACCTATTCTCCAGACCCGCACCAAGTTACCTAACAGTAAAGTCTGATGGTGTCACTTCCCTGGCTGAAATTATGCAATGGCTCCTCAATCCCTATGAGAGTAACATTCAAACATTCTTTTTTTACTCTCTAACACATAGTAAATTTATTTTGTTCTGTAACCTAGCACACACACACATACATACTTAATATACACATTCATCAGAAATGAGTTTTACTAAGTCATATCTAGCCTTTCTTACATACAGTAATACTTTGATATTTTCTAGCTTAATATATATCATTTTTCAAAAGTTCTAGTCCTAACTCACCAATTAATTCCAGGGCCTACTAAAGAGTAGCAACTCATAATTTGAAACAATGTGGTAATATCTAAGTGTCTTTGCAGATAATAGTAATCATTTTCCTGCCTTACTGTTCAGCCTCATGTCTTCTACACTCTCATTTGCAATTCATACTCTAGAATAATCTAAATGACTTGATAGTTCCCTAGATACAGAAAGCTCTCCTAAAGCTCATTGTATTTGCAAATGTTATTCCCTTTACCTAAAACACCCACGCATTGCCTCTGTGCCCAAGAAAGTCCTTCTAACCTTTAAGTCTCAACTCAAACACTAACTCCTTCCAGACTCCCCTGGACAATGAATATGCTCCTTCTCTTCTGTTCCTAACTACCTGCTATGTGAATGACAGTTATACATTCAACAAATTCAACTCAGAGTCTACTATTAACCACATCCAGATCCATGTGATAGGGATACCATATTAAGTGAAAGCCAACACAGAAGACAAAGGTTCTTTCTTGCCTTCTTTGTACCTAGCCAAAGAATTACAAATATAAATGTGAAGTATGTAAAGTTACATCTTCAATGCAGTAGTAAATGGTGCTTTGAGAAAATGCATGAAGACCTAGACATGGTTAGAGAGGATTCCCTATGGGAGAAATACCTAGGTTAAGATCTGTTGGGGATGGGGAAATGCCAGAGTGCTTGGTCCAGCTTGGGGAGCAGACTGTTCAAAGGTCCCAAGGGAAACAAGATCATGCCATCTGTTCCAAGATGAGGCTAAAGAGATAGGCAGGGATCTTATTAAAGATTTTTATCTTTAACCTAAAAGCAACAGCAAAGAATATGCTTAAAATACACATGTACATACGTTGTATGCATCTGGATGAAAAGGATATAAGACGAAAGACGAGGAAATGATGATTGTGTGTTCTGACAGATGATTTGAACAGAGCCAGGAGAAGCAGGTACATGTAGTAGATACTTTTGAGATATATAGAGTTGGTGCTGAAATAAGTAGCACACAGATGTGGAGCAAAAGACCTCTTATAATCAAATGGAAGGTCATGCCATTTACTAAGGCAACACTGGAATTTGACTAGGAATTGTCTCTCAGTTGCAGGGGGGCATATGTGCAAGGACCAGGGGAACATGTAGTCAATTGGAATCTTTGAGTTGAAGATGGCTTTCAGAGATCCAAATGTACATAATTTCATTAAATTCTCTTACTCCATTGCTATTTTGCATTTGCACATTTGTCATCCCACTGGAATACAATATTTTCAGGGGCATGTCTTTTCATTTGGGGTTTGTAGCACCTAGCTCAGAGCCTGGGACATAATGAGCCTTAAAACATGGCATTTATTATTTTGCAACAAATACTGACCACATGTTAGACAGTTAAGAAAATAGCAGTGAATATTAAAGACTATTAGATCAAGGCTTCTTCTCCAGGGTCTGTTCTTCTCAGAGAGGAAGAAGCAAGATGACATGGCCAGAAACAATGAGGTGCAGCTGATGGAGGAATAAAGGGAGATTCAGGTTCAGTACAGCAAAGCTGTATGACAGATGTACCATCTGCAGCTTCGCTTCGTAGCCCAGTGCTCAATCGCTGCGCCACTGGGGAGGCCATTTGTTATAACATTTTAATAGCAATAAAAATGTTTAAACCTTTTTAAAACAGCCATTCAAAAATTAAAAGCAGTAGAAATATTTGAACACTGACAACTTCCTGAATTCGGTCATTATTTGGGCTCTGAGGATTTTACATTTGGCTGCCACCAGCAGTGATGACTAGAGTGGTCCCACATGTGGTCCCTCTCCAGCACACCCCAAGTCATCCCCTAGTCTGTTCATGAACACAGCTGGAACTTAACTTCCAGTAATGCCAATGATAGATAAAAGTGTATTTGTTTTTAAAAAGTATTCAAACTTTGGAACCCTTAATACTACTATACTATGATATGGCAACAACCATAGTAAATATACATCCTCGATATGGTAGTAGAAAAGAATTCTAAAAAGAAATAGTTAAATGAATAGAGAAAACCTAAATATCTTACAGATGTACACAATATGAAGATTTTTCTCTTTTCAATTCTAAATTCTAAATTTCATTTAGAATTTTTTCCCAACATCATAGGAGATATATATATATATATAGCCTATATATGGCCACATATATATATATATATATATATGGTCATTATCACATTATCACAATTACAGTCTAGTATTAAGGGTTCCTAAATTTAACAGATTGTATTACTTTTTTACTGACATAATTATTTTATCGATTGTTGTCTTTGGATGTTAACCATATGTCAAAATTCTTTATAAAATGTCATACTGAATTATTTTCTCAAATAAAAATGCCTATTTCTAAAAACAAATTGGGCTCAGAATATCAAATTTCAAAGTAGTTCCTGAAAATACAAGTTTAATGTTTATATTTTATAAAGTTTTCAGAATTTTAAATGTAAATATTTCAATCTTTCAATATTACTTATGTTAGGCAAACACAAAATCATAGCGTAAGATAGTCATATCCACTTAGATGTCTCAATTCTCAAACTATCAGCTCTTTAAAATCCAAGAAGGTCTTATATACTATTCTCAGTATTAGTTATATAATGAATTTAAATTTTACAAATATTTATTTTTCCACAAGTCTGGCTTTTTGATTAAAACTCAAAAGACACTGGGTCAAAGACAAATAAGGCAAAGAGTGACTATACAGCAATGTGATGAGGAGTAAATTTTGCCAAAGTGGTGGACAAACATACATACTTATATAAAGATGTTAACAAAATCACGTGCAGAGGAATGTTTTATGTTTTGTCTAATGTAAAACAAACAAAATTCTTCCATGAATTTGATTCTACCAGAATCAGATCAGGACCAGGTGAGCTCAAGGTCACACAATTATTAGCAAAGTCTAATCACCTCATCTTTTGCAGCATTTATGTTACCCAGCCCTGCATGGGCAAAGACCAAAGAAAAACAGAAATCAAGAAATGGTTCTACTTTTTAAAAATAATATCATTGATGCGGATCTACTGACAAATGGGGAAGAACACTTATTTAGAGAAAACACTAACTCATAAACATATAAAGTCAGGAGTTTTCACAATTTAGATGAACAGATGGCTCAAGTCTAGAAATTGTACTCAGTTAGAAACCTTAGTGCTCAAGGAACATTTTTTTTCCTTTATAGATGTACTAAACAAACCATATTTGGATAAATATTCAAATAAACACTTTGAAACAGCAAAGATTATGAAACCATCTCATAAGATGGTCGACTGACTGTACACCTAAGACAACAGGAATGTATAAAAGATTTACATCAAAAGGTCATTCTGGAGTTTAAGTAGCCCTCATGAATAGATCCAAATTTAACACTCAACGATCTTATAAAAATGGTTGATCTAGTTGAAAACTCTGAGCCCCCATGTTGCCATTTGTTTTCAGCTTCCTAAGAACAGAATCAGATTCCACGCTCTGCTGCTTCATACTGGAGTTCCAGACTGTCCAAAAGAAAAGTTATGTCAAGAGTTAACTCAAAACACCCAAAAGGTTTGGGTGGGAACAAGCATCACTGTGCAGATTTTTTTTAAGATTTATTTTTATTTATTTATGCATACAGCATACAAGAACAGGGGTGTAGGCCAGAGGTGTGGGGAGTAAGAGGATTCACCAGAGACAGAATGGGGAGCAGAACAGGAGGACTGACTGAAATACACTGCTGAGGAAAGCAGCAGGTGAGATAGGAGAGGTCTGCCGTGCCATGTGGGTTAGGCCCCTGGCCGGGGATTGAACTCATGCTGTAGTGTCTGCTGATAGCTTGATAGTGCTGAGACTTAACCCCTTGGGTCACCAGGGAGTCTCCATCACTGTGCAGATTTAAAAGGACATTTATTGGCTTAAAAATTCAGAGTATGGGAATGTTTGGAAGGACCTGCAAAGAACAGGTGCTAATATCTATTAGCACATCCTGACAAAAAATTATTCCCCAGTGATATTTATATTTAGCTCAGTTTTAACCTGAAGCGTGAAAGGCAGGAGAGAGACATCATTGCAAGCTTGCAAAAACACATCCCCACTCTTCTGAAATACTGGGTAGGAAACAGTGTTGTTGGAATAAGGATTAATTTTATTATTGTGAGAAATAATAGCACAGCATTTGCCAATAAAAGAGCCAACAGATTGAAAGAATAATACGTTTAAAATACAACATAAAATTAATGTATGAAAAATTTTGATTCACGTTGAAAAAGGAGTATTAGTCAATTGGGGAAAAGCAATAACTATTCATTGGACACTTGCTACCACCTATTTGCACAGGTTCTTGATAAGATCAGCTATCTAGCATTTGAAGAAATCAATAAAAAATTCTTTAATAGGAATCAGATGCATCAATTTCAAACATAAGTCTTAATAGTGAAATGTTCTGTCCAGAAAAGCAGGACCAAGCTTCTCATTAAAATTTTTGAAAAGAATTTTAACATTTATCTTTGTATTTATTGTGGTCATGTAATACAAAGAAAATGTGCCAAACTTTCACCAAGCTCTATCACCATGCCTCTAAATTTGCTCCTTTTTATCATGCCAGTATGTCTTGTAAATATGAATTTCCACGGAGTCACAATGTGGAAAAGATTGGGAAACACTGAAACACAGGGAAAGAGTGACATAACCAAAAACAGCACCCGCAGGAAAGCCAAAGGGCACTCTTGTTGCACATAAAAATGTGTTATAAAGGAGCACCCAGTTCTTTCCTCTTTCGACCAGCAGTATTTCAACTTTTTCCTGCTCTCCCATTCTTTATACTCCTGCCCCATCAATACCTCAAGTCAACAGAAAACCAGCTCAACTTCAAATCCACACATTCTCAAAGAAAAATTTCCCATTTAAAAGCAACCCATTGTATCACAGACTGATGAAAATACATATCAAATTTTAATATTACCATTTCTTGGCATAAAGAAAGACATTCTGTTCTACGTTCCAAATACCACTACGCAATAAATATGTTTTACAACAACAAATGGACAACAAAGGCATATTAATACCATCAAAATAAGATTGTAGAGGAATAATGACATTTATTGGATAAAATTACGTGAAAAAGTATTACAGAATAGTACATATAATTCAGATTATAGAACACAAATGCATACTGTGAGGTCATAAACAAACAATTTTAATAATGGTAAAATGGCATAATTAGGAAACTTTGTTAATCAAGGTTTTTCTTTAACATTGTTATATTACTTTCAAGTACAATATCAATAATAGTTTTCAATAAAAATAAACTGATAATACATCTGCACTCTTGTATAATTTTCTGCTGTTGGTTACCATAAATGAACTGACACATACTCCTATAAATCATCAAAACCTCCCTTTCAAACAAGGGTCAAGTGTTAACTGTGTAAAAGTGCTTTTATACCTTTACTAATATTGCAATACTAAACAGAAAGGTGATTTTTAAACCTATTTAAATCTACCCTTTGTACTTAAAAGTCCAATGAACACTATTATGCCACTCAAACACACAGTTACTTGGATCTGAGGGCTTTAAAGTACAACTAAAAACATCCCATTAATTTTTTGAGAACAAAGAATTATCAACATAATTAAATCTATGTTTTAAAAAGGAAAAAAAGCAGAACAAAAATTTCAAAATTATTAATTGTAAACTATTTTTTGGCTCCCATAGACAAATATGCCAGAGTAGCTTTGAGTAGCTAAAAATTTACTGAACACTTATTATGCGCCCAGCACTGGGTCCTATTGTCATTTAGCGTAAATCTAACAAGATTCTGTTAGTTATTATTGTCCCATAATTCAGGAGGTTTAGTAATTTGCTGGTAAGCAGCAGATTGCATTAGAACTTCAGTGTCTCTAAAGTCATTTTCTTCACTGTACTCCACTAGGCAAACATATCAATATGGATAACAGTCAAGCATCAACAAGCATATAGTTCAACAATGATGGGAGGTATAATGTCAACAATATTAGTCGGCATGAGGGGTCTCTTCACAACTCTTGCACTTGTGTATTTATTTAACCATTTCATCTTAACCAGATTTTAACAGGCATCAATCAATAAAGGCTTCCATTTAAAAAACTGTCATAATTATACTTTAAGGTGAGAAAAATCCAAGAGTAAAAGTTAACCCTAAAAATCAACTCCTGCACAGAAAGTAAACATCCGGAATTCCAACATTTCTAATGTCTATGACTTATGGAAGATAACAAGGTAGAGAGAAAAGTGAACAAAAATTAATTTGGGGTTTTTTTTTAACTTGCATTGAATCCCATTTTTGACACATGTTGGTCAGAGATCATGAAGCAAATTACTTGGTCTCTTCGATATTTTCTCATTTAAAATAAAGTAATACTGAAAAGATTAAATGAGAGCATGGCATAACCCTGTACCAAGAATGTGCTCTGTCAGGGTTGATGTCCTTCACTTTCTTGCCCGATCTTAAAATAAATGTCTTATTGCAGCACATTATACAAAAATCTACATTTTTGTTATAACTGTAAACATGAAATAAACATAATGAAGAAAAATAATTACCTGAAGCATTGTGGAAAAATGTCTTATTGCTTCATCATAGAGACCACTGCCAATCAACACATAAGCAATAGCTATGAAACAAAATACAAAAACATTAAAGAAAAAAGGCTCTCAGACGGAGATCAATAACTTCTTTTTAAAAGATTTATTTATTTATGCATACAAGAACTGGGGTACAGGCCAGAGGTGTGGGGGGTGAGAGGATTCACCAGAGACAGAGTGGGGAGCAGAACAGGCAGACTGACTGAAATACACTGCTGAGGGGAGCAGCAGGCAAGACAGGAGAGGTCTGCTGCACCCTGTGGGCATCTCCCTGGCTGAGGATCAAACTCGTGCTACAGAGGCCATGGATAGCCCCAATGTGCTGCTCTCAACCCCATGCGCCACCAGGGAGGCCCAATAACTAATTTCTTTACTAAATATAGAAGGCAACTCCAACAACCAGAAGTAGAAAAAGAAAACTTAGAAATTAAAAAGATATAACTTAATTCTTTTACCACTCAGGACTTGCTAATCAATCTTCTGCTTCATCTGGATTTAAATTATTAAAGTCATCTATAAAATATCTGCCTATAAAGCCTATAAGAACTATTTCTATTTGTCTAAGCCCATCACTCACTTTCAAATATCAAGTAATCTTTTGTGATATTCCCTAACTATATATCAAAAGAGCTAGTAATAAGCCTGAACAATATACACAAAACATGGCAATGTGATTTTACTGTGAAACTTAAGAGAAATAACCAAATAGCACCACAAATCTCTATTCCTGGGGTTGCTGAATTTACTGCCAATTATCTAGAAAGAACAAAAACAGAGGTTCAAATTAATATATATATTTATATAATGCCTAACTGTAGATCATGCACACTACTGTAATGCAATGGTAGCCCTTTCCCTACCTCTTGTATTTAAACAAGTCAAAACAATGCTCAAAATATATACTAAAAATAAATAAATAAATAACTTGATCAAATTGTTCAAGTAACTGGTATTTTTTAAGTTAGTCATGACTACCTCTTAAAATATGGCAATATTTTGACTTTTTCACTTGACAACAAATTTTAATACTCTAGACCATATTTACATCTATATTTGCCATAATTCCCTAAATCCCCAAGTAACCCTGAAAAAAACTATATGTCTCACTCAACATTATACTATTTTGATCATATTTCTTTGCAAAAAAGTTTTATTGTAACCCTCTAATTCTAGACCCTAATAGGTATTCTGAAGATGGGCAACTGAAATTTTATTGTCAATAGAGTTTAAATTTCCTGACATTAGAGTAGTTAAAACATAAATGCAGTAGAAATACTAAATGCAGAGATTTAAACTATCTATAAATAACCCAGGAAAAGTTCAAAACCATTCATTATCATAATTATACTAAGAGCTTTGGGGGGCATTCTTCAAAATAAAAAAAGGACTGTTTTTAACCTAATTTGTTCTTCAAAAAGAAAAATTAAGTTCAAATGCATATTCAGAATAATAAGAATGGACACTATTCAGATAAGTGTATCTGTTTAGATAACCAGAGATATCTTTGGAAAGGTCCAGAATCATTAGCAGCAAAAGAGCAACATGAATAATTACATGTATCGCACTTTTTTTTGTTTTTATTTTTTTATTTTATTTTATATAATTCTTACATCATTTTTCATTTTTGCACAATGTATGAATTTTCATTTTGGTTATATTCCCCATATAATTCCCACCACCCCTTATTTTGGCCCTAATCCCTCCTCTCCTCCCCTGTCCTCCCTCAGTAGTATGTCTCTGGTTTATAGTTGCTTGTTGATTTTGATTTTTTCTTTATTATAATTAGTCTTTTTCCTGGTCCCTTATTTAGGTTTTCTAAAGTCCTGCTATGAGTGAGACAATTCAGTATTTTTCCTCTTCTTTCTGGCTGATATTGCACTCTTAATATGTGCCAGGCACAGGCCTAATCATCTACACATATTAACTCATTATTGCAAGAAGGTAGTTACAATTATTATCCCCATTTTGTAGATAAGGAAATGAAGCAGCAATTAAACAAACTGTCCAAAAACAACATGCATTCAGTGAGACAAAGGAACCTAGCTTCCTAGCTCTGGGTCCTACCCTTCTTTTTTCAAGACTTAATTATTTATACAAGAACTGGGGTATCAGGCCAGAGACATGGGAGAGCGAGAGAACTCATCAGAGACAGAGCGGGGAGAACAGGCAGATGGATCAAAGACACTGCTGAGGGGAGCAGCAGGTGAGACAGGAGAGGCCCACACCATGTGGGTATCTCCCTGGCAGGAGGGGAATTGAACCTGCACTGCAGAGGCTGTGGACAGCTTCACAGCACTGCGTTCAACCCGCTGCGCCACTGGGGAGGCCCTGGGTCCTACCCTTCTAACCAACACACACCAAAATAAATCAAGGCTGGATCAAAACTGCTCTGCACTGGGCTGGACTGAAAAATGGTTTGGATTCCATAATGATTAGATCAGCAGAGAATGAAACACAAACTTGTACTTTCTGAATGCAGGAAGAAATAACAGCTGTAGGAGATCAATACTGAACATTGCCCATGTTTTGGTTGCTGAATTCCACTCAAAATCAAATGTCACTCCCAAATCTTTCCATTTAAAAGTAAACATTTTTTAGAGAAAACCCCCGCAGTGCCATTTCAAAAAAGCTCTAATCCAAATGTTGCGCGAATAAAAATAAGACCTGGATCTATATTTTGTTGTTCAGAGTTCAAAGAAAAAGAATAAACTTGTATAGCTGGAATTCTCACAGAAATTGTTACTCACATCTACTCCACATCTCCCAGCACCATACATGTTGATAGAAGTTGTTTTTCTAAGAAAAAATGCTATGATACAAAAGATCCTAAGCCAGCTCAGGGTCTAAACTATCATAGTGTCCATTTGAAATGTTCTTAGAATGTAGAGGCAGCCTGGCACACATCAGGTCCTTAATTAATTATTTAATACACAAATACGTGGCTGGACAGAATCCAAGGATTTCAGGAAAGACCAAGATCTGATGCATTAACAGGTAATTAAGTCTCATGTCTACTCAAAGAGTACCACCAAAATGTAATTCATACTTTCAAAGGGTCAATTCTTAACTACCTGCACTAAAAGAGGAAAGGAGTCAGTACAAGAAGAGCTTGGTCTCAATGGGAAGTGTATATGCCTGCAGAAAGGATAAAATGATTATTTGAAAATCAGAAACGTTTTTCTGCATGTGCTTTAGGTGACAAGGCCCCTCAAGGGAGCATGTGCTTATATGAAGTCAGTCCACCTGCACACCCAATGTTGTTTCACGCCTTCAAATGGAAGCTGACAAGGCAGGGAGGGAGGCACCCAAACCATACAGACACTGGTGACATCAGCCTGTTTTTAAAACATACCATGAACAAGCCAAACAGCATGACCCATTTGCAGATGTGAAATCATTCAATTTGTCTACACCCATATTCTGTTGACCCAATCCAATAACTGACTGGTGTCATGAGTAAAATTCATTTAAATCTAGCTATTTTATTACACAGAAATCTAAAGTAGGTATGATTCTATTGTTTTCATTTCTATATTATTCATAATAGATGACAAAATATAAATACCCTTTAAATGAATGATAGCAGCTCATAAGACCTCATCAGCATAATTATTAATTCCCACTAGAACGCAGAGGTGGAACAATCCCTACCAATCATTCCATCCAAATCTTTTACTTCATGACATACACTCAAGGAGGACTCTCACAAGGGCTGAATGCCACTCATACTGGCAGGCTCAAGGCTGTGTTCTTTCTGCCTCACCATCCTGCCAACTTGCTCTGCATATAAGCATAAATTCTAGAAAATACCACAGGAATATCCTGGTTCAAGTCTCACCTAACTCTTCATTTGTGCTGTCATTATCAGTAGCAAACGGGAATCTTTTTTGTTCTGCAATAGACTTGGCCTGGCTCTGAAATAAAAACAAATAAACACACATTTCAGCTTATCACAAATGAAGTGAAAACTTAAAATGCAAACCTGTATTTAAAAAAATTAAAGCTACATTTGATTTATATGGAAGAAAATATTCGTTTTAAGTCATAACATTTATGTACTTCAGGGCACAGTTTGTGGCATAATTTATTTGCTTTTCCCCCCTTATCATTAGCAGGTCTGTTTTTCCAGGAGTAAATATTTTCTTTTTTTTGTGTGTGTAGAAGAAATGGGATGTAGGCCAGAGGACAGAAATGAAATCCCATAAAAAGAAATCATTTCCAAAGTAACATCAAGAGTACACTGAAGGGCATATCTGATTTAAAAGTTTTTATTATGTTAGAAATAAAATCTCTAACAGAAGTGAGTAGGAAAAGCATAGCATGAACAAATAAATTCCTCAGCAAAAATCATGTTTCCTATTCTCAATACTGCATGTATAGACATCTTTTGTGGATGGTGGTAAGATCTGGTATGATTTGCACAATTGTACTTCTATGTTTACTTGAATAATTATTTGATTAGTGATTGTAGGAGTAAAGAGCACACAGGGATAGAGGTTATCTAGTTCACCAGTTTTCTTCATCAGTACTGGCACATAATAGGTACTAAATAAATATCTGGAGAATGAATGACTTCCATATTTTAAACCTATGGAAAAAGTTTTATAAGCTTTCTTCCAATGGCTACTAGATAGCAAAATTTCAAACTAAAAATGTAACTAGTGGAAAATTCTTGAATTGCTATTAGTAAGAATAGTTTAAAATTAGTTTCTCATCACTCTAAGAATCCACTTGCCTACCTGAGGTGGAGATTGTTCAATTTCTACTTAAATGTTTTCAATGATAATCAACTCACTACTTTACAACACAACATTCTGGGTTTTGACAAGTCTAATTAAAAAGTTTTTCCATATTCCAAGTTAACTGTACTTGGTTCACTAGGTAAAACCAGTTGATTATTCTCTAGTTTGATTTTTCTACCTATTTTCAGTAATTCTTACATGAAAAGGCAGACATTGTCTGGAAAAGAAAGAATATCTTATAAGGAAAATTTTTAACCAAAGACACAAAAATATGTACGTGGTTGTCAAAGGAAAGGCCTGGAGAAAAAATGTGTTAACTTTGGGTACTGAAAAAAATAACTCAGTTTCATAAAGTTAAGTATAAATAAAAAGAAGATCCTTCAAGAGGCAGCTAGCTAACATGAATTGGCAGATGCAGACATAGTGTCAGATAGTCATTCCTGGAATGGCAAGGTCTCCTGTACAGTTTAGTTGGTTCTGATGAAAAGAAAAAAAAAAAAAATAGAGCTATGTAAAAGATACCCACACAGGCAGAGGTTGGAAAATAAGATTATACTATCATACTTCAAATACATACTATTTCTAGACATATGGGTTAATTATGAGCTCCCCTTTATTCTTTGGAATCTAAATGATCAACCATACAATTTAAAAGTCATAATAATTCAATGTGAGCAAATACTAGATGACCTAACTTTATCTTATACACAGTGAACCAAATCAGACCCAATTCTCAGTTGATAACCTGAGGTGACTTCCAACATTTAGAGTTAGTGTCATCGTGCTTCAGGTCACAAAAACAGAAGGCATGACAGAAGATGCATACCAGAATCTTTTCAGTGTTGAGGGAAAGCAACGAGTCACAGGGTGGCGATCCTTTGGGTTCGCAATCTGGATCATGGAAGTTCAAAAAGGATGACTCTGAAAAGCAAACATTCCTTGTTATTCTCCTCACCTTAAATTTATGGCTCTATACTATATATTGGAATGCTAAGGATCCATATAACCAAAATAAAGACGAGTCTAGAAAACACTAAAAGGAGCATCTTATCTTCTACCATCACAACTGTGTAATATTTTAACTTCCAAATATATTACACACTCATCAGTGATCTCACAACCATTCTGGAAAAGATCAAAGGCAAGTTTCCCAGGTTGGTAAAATGAGGTTTAGATAGGTTAGAATTGTTCTAAAGACAACAGGGCAGAAAGAGTACTAGTCAATACCCTTCTCACTATACACAAGGAATTAATAGAATTGCTGAGATCCTTTTATTAGACATATCCTATCCGGCAGCATTTACCACACGTTAAAAAAAAAAATCACAGAGGGCCTCCCTGGTGTGCAAGGGGTTAAGCACTGCAGTATGAAGCAATCTGCAGCCTCTGCAGCACAAATTGGATCCCCAGTTGGCAAGGGAGCTACCCACATGGCACAGCAGATCTCTCCTGACTTGCCCACTGCTCCCCTTGGCAGTGTATTTCAGTCAGTCTGCCTGTTCTGTTCCCCACTCTGTCTCTGGTGAATCCTCTCACCCCCCGCATCTCTGGCCTGTACTCCAGCTCTTGTACACATAAATAAATAAATCTTTAAAAAAAAAAAATCACAGAGAACAAAGTCAAATCATGATAAAATGTTTAAAAATATGCACTCAGATTCTAGAATTCAGAACACATATTTGTTCTGAATAAATTTGTGCAAGAAAAAAATGATCCAATTAAAAAGAATGGGTACCAGAAATGAATAGCGAAAGCACAGAAGCAAGATACAAACAGACAGTGAATAGATAGTCCTGGCAAGAAAAGGGAATTGGTGCTAGAAAATAAAAATATGAGGGTGGAAAGTCAGTCATTAGACTGGGGAAAGCCTTGTACCCAAACAAATACTTTAGTCTAAAAGAGAATTAAGAACCAATAATGGTTGTTGGTAGGTATTTGGAGGATTAATTTGAAGAAAGGTTTTTTGGAAATATATTAACCTATAACATGTTTCTCCAACCTTTAAAAAAAGCTAATATTTGAGAACTTCCCATATGCTAAGCACCACGCTAAGCACTAAGTATATGTTGTCTTATTGTATTCTAATAATCCCTCTACTTTGTGCAATTCATGTCAGTTTCAATAAAATTGCATTGTATAATTTTAAATAGCTACATCACATTCTATTGCATGGAATTTAACCAGACCTCTATCATTGGATAATTAGGATGTCCTTTCTTTTTTTAATATGTTTCAGTAAGTATCCTTGACCTTTGTTTTTGCAATATACCCAACTAGGCAATTAAATTCTAAAAAACATAATTACTGAGGCAAAGATGGAAACGATTTTATAACCATTCAAATGTTACTCCATTTTCATCCCAGTATGTAATAATAATTTCATTCCCATTAGCAGTGTACAAAAGGTCTATTTCCCTCCACTCAATATTGCCATTCTTTTTATTGCTCCCAATCTGAAAATAGTACTAGCTAAGAGTAAACTTTCTGTGTATTGGCATCTCTTCTTTTGTAAATGCCTTTGCTCATATTTAAATCATCTGAATCTATTCTGTCATTAATGTCAGTCTGTCATCCGATTACCTATTGCCCAAATGGTTAACTGGTTATCCCAGTATCACTTAAATTATCAATTTGGTTTTTTTGTTTTTGTTTTTAAAGATTTATTTATCTTATACAAGAACCGGGCCAGATGCACGCGGGAGGGTGAGAGGATTCACCAGAGACAGAGCAGGGAACAGAACAGGCAGCCTGACTGAAATACACTGCTGAGGGGAACAGCAGACGAGGCAGGAGAGGTCTGCGGCGCCATATGGGACCCTCGCAGCCAGCCGGTTACCAGCACTGCAGAGGCTGCAGACAGCTTCACAGCACTGCCCTCAACTGCCTGCGCCACCAGGGGAGGTCCTAAATTATCAATTTGAAACACCACCTTTATAATACCTTGTATCACTGGGTCTGTTTCTACACATCTTTAAAAAGGGAATCTTTGAGATTATTCAAATCTAACTTCTACAGCAACTGTGACAAATGACTGTCAATGCTATACATGGACATTTACTCTTTGGAGTATAATTCATATTCATTGTAGAAAATATGGAAAAATCACGAACAATAAATAAAAGCAATTCAGAATATCACCACACATTGAGAATGGCTGAAAATTTTGGTGTATGTAATTAAGAGTAGTAATACTGAAACCAGAAGATCTGGAGTGCAAAATCCTGTTCTCTGCCACTACTTACTAGCTCTCGAGTACTGACCTAGCCTCTTTAATCTTCAATTTCATTTGTAAAACAAGCCTAATCATAATCCACTACATGGGGTAGTTGTAAGATTTCCTAAGGAAATATATGTAAAGCAGGTGGTACACAGTTGCTGGCACACAGGAGAACTAAGAAATGTTTAGTGCTATTATTATCACTGACCTGTGAGAACTGAATGAGAATCACAGTTTTGTAGCCTGCTTTTTAACTTAACTATATAAATACTTTCTCAGAGGATTCCATTTCTTCTATATTATTTAAATTTGAACTTAGTGAGATTGGGCCTCCCTGATGGAACAAGGGATTAAGTGCACTATGTAGCAATCCGCAGCCTCTGCAGCAAGAGTTCGATCCCAGGCTGGCCAGGGAGCAACCTACATGGCGTAGCAGACCTCTCCTGTCTTGCCCACTGCTCCCCTCAGCAGCGTATTTCAGGAGATCTGCCTGTTCTGCTCCCCACTCTGTCTCTGGTGAATCCACTCACCCCCCATACCTCTGGCTCATACCCAAGCTCTTGAATGCATAAACAAATAAATGTTAAAAAAAAAAATGAACAGTGAGATTATATACCACTTTTTTTAATTTTTTTAATATTTTTTTTATTTATGCATACAAGAACTGGGGTATAGGCCAGGGTAGGTGAGAGGATTCACCAGAGACAGAGTGGGGAGCAGAACAGGCAGATGGACCAAGGTTCACTGCTGAGGGGAGCAGCAGGTGAGACAGGAGAGGTCTGCTGCGCCATGTGGGTAGCTCCCTGGCTGGGGATCAAACTTGCGCTGCAGTGGCTGTGGATTGCTTCATAGGTTGCGTCTTAACCCCTTGTGCCACCAGGGAGGCCTTATATACCATTTTTAATATTTTTAAAGCAAAATTTCACTTCTCTGTAAAAAAAATGCATTGTGCTATTTCAAGACTTTCTAATCCTTGTAAGGGTTTCTTCAGATTTCAGTATCACAGTTCTTTAATTATTGTAGCCTTACAATAAATGTATATATTTTAGTAAAGCAAAGCCTGATCAACCTTTTTTCAAATATTTCTTGGCTACTGGGATAAACATTCTTCCTTCAGGTAAGTTTCAATCTTTCTGTTAAGGTTCCAGAACAACAACAACAACAAAAACCTTCTGTAATTTCTATTATCATTGTATTAAAATTATGGATTGAGGGGAGAAACAATTTACTTCCTTACAAAATTTAGTCTATTCAAGTCTTTTATTAACAGGTGAAATTTTATATAGGATTTACACATTTAAGTTTGTTGTAATTTTTAAAAAGTTGATTATTGATTCAATACATGTTTGCTGAGCATCTAGTCACTATTAGCCTCAGTGATCAATCCAAACAGAAATGAGCACTGGCCTTGTATTCACTGGAGGAAATGGATAGTAATCACTTACACAAAGAAATGTAAGGTAGCAAGGGCTTATAAGGAGTAGCTATGCATAATAAGTGCCTGCTTAGGGAGGTCTTGTCTGCATGAATAACATCAGCACATATTGATAAAGTCACGATGTATAGGCACTCTACTAATTCCCATTTTAACAGTGAGGAAAATGTGGCAGAGAAACACAGAAATTTGCCAGTGACCATTCTCTAGCAAAATAGTAGAGGCGGCATTTGAGATGGAGTCAGTTCTGGAGTTCTCGCTCATAACATGAAAGGATTAAGGGTGAGCTGAAGGAAGTTAAGGATTTAAAAGGTGGAAGTCCACAGAATGCTAGCAGGACTAGGAGAGTGGGCAGAAATACAGCATATTCTTAACTGGCTAGAGCTGTATAGTTTATCTGCCCACATTAGTGAAGTCTTAACAATGTTACTCATGTCTCAATTTATCCGTTGATAATTGTCTCATCTGCATGTGATTTTATCAAAGCTTTTGAAATATTTATTCTCATTTAGCATCTTATATTACCCCTGCCCAAAAGTATTCATTAATAACAGTGATAAAAGGTACTCCTGCTATTCCTGACATTAATATTACATCTAGTGACCCAAAATTTCCTCAACTTTTGATAAATTTTTCATTTAACATTTATAAATATTCTGTAGGAAGCTGCTCTATCTGGCCAGGGGTTGAGTGGTATGTTTTACTCTATCAAGAAGTATTCTCCTAGTCTTTGTTTTATTAAAAAAAAAAAATTAATGAGGAAAATTGGCTGAACTTTATCAAGTGATTCTGCAGTTTTAAGATAATCATTTGATTCTTCTTCTTTAACCTACTAAGGTAATTAAATTTTTTTAAAGGTTGAACCACCTTTGTACTTATGGAATAAATTTTAATTGATTGAGGCAGGTAATTCTTTTTTTTTTTTGCATTAAAATATGGATTCTTTATTTTCTGTAATCTTATGTTGCTCTCAATTTTTCCCATTTTACTAGGCAGTGGAAAAATTTAGACTACCAAGTCAAGTAACTGTCAGACTAACATAATTTCTTGAAGTACTTCCAGAGTCTTGCAAGGTTTTTTTCCATATCCCCTTCTCCAAGTCAACTTAACCTCTGGATATATATAATAGTTTGTGTCCTAATAGCATGGGAAGAACAAGTCCTAAATCATCCTCAAGAACCTGGTTTTTGAGGTTCTTTGCAATTTAAGATTATTTACATGTCTCTGGTATATATCACCGAAATTCATGGCTGATGGAATTTGTCCATT